TGAGCCGAGGAGCCCCCTCTTCCACGGCCTAGTTCCCCGTTTTCGGGGTTCGTTTCATCCTCGAGATCTTCATCCGAATCAAGGACAGCCCTTCGAAGGGCTTCGGCTGTTTCGTGATCGATTGTTTCGGTATCCGACAGGTTCGCGCCTCAGCCGAGCCAGGCCAGCGAGTTCTGTAAAGGATTCGCGCGATACGATGGTCCAGGAAACGTATGGAAGCGAGCATTTTCCTTAATTCTTGCCCATTGAATGAAGGCTCTATTCCTCCGACTGCCCATCGCTTCCTTCTTCGCCCTGCCCATTCATCACACATTGTGTTTTTTGTTCGTTGGTGTAGCGGTCTCCACCCGCTGAACTGGTGGGAACGTTTCTCGGCGGTTTCTCCTTGTCGTAGTTCGTATGACCTAACATCTCAGGGCTTGAGTGCGATGATACGATCTCTGATGGCCCTCCGTGCGTAGCATTGACTGAGCCATGCTCCCTGCCTGGCGTTTGAAAGATTTCCTTCATCTGGTGATGTATAGGGGAATCCCCCTCTGTCAAATCAAACACAGATCCCGATGCTCGTCATCCAAGAAGATTGAAAGAAAGTGGCCGCCCCTTCGGGGCGCCTTCCTTAGTAATACGTTCGGGGCGATTTTGTCGTTCTATTGCTTCGAGCGTTCCTTCCTTTGATCCCTTGTCCAGCGAAGCCAACGGCTGAGCCGTCGTTTCGGCTGATAACCAGCTTTTTGCCTGGATATTGACTATCCCTGCAATATGTTCCGATGTTGTCTCGGTTGCCCCTGAAGGTAGCTTCCGTGAGGGACGCTCAAGGGACTCCGCCGAGGCCATGGCACGGAAGGGGTGTTCCGTTAAGCGGATCAGAGAGATATGTGTGGTAGGGAGGCCGGCCGGCCGACGACACGACGACGATGAGACGACCCCTCGCGGGCGCGCAAGCTAGCTCGCTCCTTCTTCCTCTGCCTCTCGAATCTGGGTGGCTGCAGGCGGACAATCAGTACGACAGCAATGATGGCAAGGGCAACAAGATGGTGGTGCGGAGAGGAGCGTCTTAACTCCATGACGAGGAGAACGGAAGGTGCGCAGCGTGATTGCCAAAAGCGGCTAACCGGCTCTCTGTTCCAGTCGCCAGTGCCCCCCCCGCAAAAAAAAACAGAGAGGTTAGAAACTGCAGCACAACTCGTCCTGCGGCTCTGCACTACGTCATCCTCACTCCCCAAGTTTTCGTCATCCCATCTCATTTGTTCCGTACCCCGTTCCACCTCATCATCAGCACCACCGCAATCCCTATCTCGCACCGCTCACGACTCATCTCCATTCCGACTACATGCATCATTTATGTAGTTGTCTCCCTCCTCATCCTCTTCCTCATCCTCCGTCGCACCATCATCATCGACATCCCCTCACCACTCCTCACAATACCCCCCTCTGTTCACATCCACCCCATCCTCCACATCCTCCTTCTCCTCCTCCTCCTCCTCACCTCGCCCTCTTCCTCCTCTTCCTCCTCCTCCTCCTCCTCGTTCTCCCTCATCCTCCCGACTCCTTCACCTTCATCCATACCCCTGCGTTCTACTTTCCATGTCCCCAGTCCTCCTCTCTCTCCTCCTTTTCCTTCTTCTCCTCTTGCGTTCCTCCACACAAATCAGCCCTTGAAGATCCCATGGGGTGCGCTTGAATTCGAAGCACTCTGGGGGTCCAGCCGTGGCGTTGAAAGGCTCATATGAGGCTCAAAAAACAATTGCGAAGTCAGGGCCGTTGCACAACCAAATCGCAGGGGATTTCGCCAGACGCGCGCAAGGCACCAGTCCAGGTGCCTTCCTCTCGCTATCCACCCCCTCCTCCTCCTCCTCATCATCACCATCCGCATCATCATCCTTATCGTCGTCGTCGTCGTCCTCCTCCTCCTCCTCTTCCTCCGTCTCCTCCCCCGCCTCCTCATCTTCGCCCTCATGATCCGCATCAACAGTATCATCCCCATCTTCATCTTCATCCTGACCGTCATCATCGTCATCATCATCAGCGTCATCAGCATTATCATCATCATCACCATCATCAGCATCATCATCACCATCACCATCACCATCATCGGCGGGCTCTGGCCTGTTGCCCGCCGAGCCGCCCTCGACCCGCCGCTGTGCCGCTCGGACGCCTGCCCCATGGGGTGCGGCGGCCGCGGCACGGTGCGGCACCTCGCCTGGCGGTGCCCCGCCCTCGCGGCGGAGAGGCGTGACGCCATCGCGGGCGGACCCCCGCTACTCGAGAGCCCTGATCCCCGACCAGATGGCCGCCCTCCCGCCGCCGCTGGAGACCGAGGAGGTGCGTTGGAGCAGCAGCCACGGCTACACGGCCCTGGCAGGCACCAACGTCCTGTACACCGACGGCTCGGCGATGCACGGCAAGGCGGGGTCGCCCGAGGTGCGTGCTGGCTTGGGCTTGCGGCGCTGCAGGCCCGCGGCGCGGCGCACGGCGCCTGGGGATGTGTCCCCGCTCGCATGCCGCAGGACGCCAACGCGGGCGAGTTCCTGGCCGCGGCCCGTGCCCTGCGCTGGGGCATGCCAGGCGTGGACGGAACCCTCGAGATCAGGACGGACGGCAAGCTGCTCGTGACGGGATTCGCCGCGGGCAGGGCATGGTGCTGCGCGTGGGAACGTCCGTACCTGGAGGTGTGGCGCGAGTTCTGGCAGGCCGTGGAGAGCTTCGGCGGCCAACAGTACGTGGCGGTCACCAAGGTGAAGGGGCGCGCCACGCTCCGATCGGTCCGCGACGGCGCGACCATGCTGGACGACTACGAGGGCAACCGCGCCGCGGACAGCTTCGCCAAGAAGGGCGCGGAGCTCCTCCCCACGTGTCAGGCGGCAGTGAGGCGCATCGAGCTGGCCGACGCGGTCGCGGTGGTGACGGCTCGCTGGCTCGGCGAGGCGCTGCAGCTGGGGAGCGCTGCCCTCACGGCGGTCGACGGCGCGGACGCGGGCACCGCGGAGCCCACCTGCTGCGGGCGCGGGTGCGGGCGGCGAGGCGCCGCACGCTGCCACGACGGCGGGCCAGGCTGCCGACGTTGGCCATGCACTGCGCACGGCACGGCGGTCTCGGACTCGCACGGGACGCGCTGGCTCTGCGACACGTGCGCGGGCCGCTCGGTCGGCACGCCCGTCCACGGTGGATCACCTGGCCCCAAGCGGCGGGGCGGAAGCGCCAGGCCCCTGGCCAGGAGGCCGGCGAGCGGCGGGCCCGCGCGCGGACCTCCGCGAGCGCGGGCCGACGAGGCGCCGAGGGCGCGGGAGCGGCCGCCGCTGGCGCCGTAGCAGCGGCGGCGATGGCGGCCCAGGCGCGCGGTGGCGCCCAGCACGACGACGGCAGCACGGAGGAGGGCGGCGCAGCCGTGGGCGCCGAGGACGCGGGCGGCCGCCCGCGGTGGTGGAACGTGAGCTTCGATGAGTCGCACCGCCTCTGAGCAATCGGCGTGGGACAGCGCCGCCTCGTCTTTTGCGCGTTCTGCGGCTGCTACGCGGACGGCGCGAGGGTGGTGTCGCTCCGCAACAAGTGCGCGGGAGGCGACAGCGCCCGCCAGGCAGCTGCACTGAGGAGGATGCGGCAGGGGAGGCACCCCACGCGGGACGGAGCGGGGTGGGCCATCGGGCCCCTATCGGCGACGAGCCAGCGATTGGGGGCTCGATGCGTTCCTCCCTGAGCCCATCCCCCCCTTACTTTGGCCCAGATCTTCCGTTCCTCAGTTTTCGGGACATATCTCGGGCCTCCAACGGCCGTTCGGGACGATCCTGGCACCCCCAGAACCCTCTCGGCGAGGCGCGGCCGCTGAGGGCATCCCGGGCCCAGAAAACCGCCGCGAACCGAAGAAGACGACCGAGAAACCCGAACCTCGAAGCCAGAAAATCTTCTCCGTTTTTCGAATAAGGGCTCCGCGTGGATGCAGCGCAGCCGCATGACTGCAAGGTCGCTGCAATGAGGAAGTGATGCGCGAGCCTCGCGGACCTAGGCACCTAGGCAGAAACCGCCCTCGGGCGCGAACGCTGGCAAATCTGGCGCGCGTTCCGGACCACTGGTGGCAGAAAAAGTGATTCGCCAAGCAAGTGTTCTTTGCCGAGAGCCCCCAGCGTGAGGCCCATTGTCGGGTCCGCTGGACAGGACCCCACAATTTTTTTAGCATAATCCATCGCAAGGGGGCCACTTTTGGGTTGGCTGGTAAAACATTCTCGTCTTGGGATAAAGCACGGTCGGATTTCATGAGAAAGTCCTATGCGATTTGCTCATTTTCAGGTCCATACACCGTTTGGGATTTATATCGAGTTTCACCTGGGAGCCGAAAGCGCGGGGGGCTGGGTTCACATTGTACCGCGCCCCTGCGGCCACACGGGGCGGGGAGCCGGTCCTGCCCTAGCCCCCGCCACCCCTCAGCCCTCGCTCCCCAAGCGGCTCCCGCTGGCCATCTTCGATCTCGCGTTGGCCTGGATGGCGACGAAGCGCACCGTGGCAAAATGTTGGAATCGGAGCGGCGCAACAACGCTGCCCTCGAAGCCCTCGAGCCCAACGCTGCCCCAACCCTCCGTGGGCAGGATCGGTCAGCATCGAATCTGCAAATCGGTTCGAATCGGAGAGGAAGTCGGATCGGACCGCATCGGAACGGAGTCGGAATCGGATCGGAACGGCCGCGCCAGGATGCACAACAGCGCCATGCGAGTATCGGGCCGCATCGGATCGTCGGAATATGGCTGGAAGCAACATCGAATCGGATCGATCAGATCGGCATGGACCCTCCATGGGTGCCGGAAGACGACCATTTCATCCTTAACGATTTCTTCCGCGATGGGTACATCTGGAAGAACGTTTTCCTGGAAGATGTCGTCCAGATGAAGTTGTCTGGATGAACTCATCCCGAAGAAATTTCCAGACGAACTCGTCCGGATAAACTCATCTCGAATGAACTCGTCTGGATGAAACGGCATCGGATGAAACGGTAGGCTTTCGTGGGGGTCCACCTCCTCCTCGAGCCGGCCGATCTCGTCCCGCAGCTTCGTGTTCTCGGCCGAGAGGCTGGAGCAACGGTCGGCCACCTGGCGGCGGAGGGCCCACCTTCCCATTCGTGGCGGCGGGGGGGAGGTGAAGCGAGGGAGGGGTCTTCAGGAGAGACCGAGGGCCGAAAGGAGTAGGTTCATTGATCACTTGGCTACGCGGGAGGCTAGGGCAGGAGGGGGGAGGGAAGCGATAGGCGAGCCAGTTCGGAAGTCGATGGCCAAACACCCCAGGGGAGTGAAAGACTATCCGCCCAAGGAGAGGTGAAGCAAGGGAGGCCCCAAGAGGGCCCCGAAATGCCAACATCATTGATGTTCCGGTGGTTTTTGAAGGATTTTAGTGTTCTCGCCTTTTCGGGCTATCCTCCAGGACGGCCCAGGAGGCCCCCAAGATCGCACCAAGACGGCAAAGGAGGCCCCCAGGAACGACCCCAAACGGCCCAAGATCGCTGGCCTTCGGGAGGCACCAGGGGCCGAGAGGAAGAAAGGGATCGGGGATCGAGGAGGGGCCCCATCCTCGATTTCCCGATCGATTCTCAAACCCCCCCTTCTCCCTCGTCGGTCCTCGATCCCCGTCGACCCTCCCACACGATCCTCGCTTCTTCCTTCTCCTCGGTTCGAAGTGAAGGAGCGAGGACCGTGTGTGTAGGGGGATGTTCTACGGTCGAGGAGGGGGAGGGGAGCGAGGAAGGTGGGGGAGATTCGACAATCGAGGTCTCGTGGACGTTAATTGCGCGCTCTCTCTCTCTCTCTCTCGGAACTCTGGAGACATCTTCGGCAGGAAGGAGATGAAGGACGGGAGCGAAGGGGCGTGCGAAAGAGGGGGATCAGGGAGTGAGGCGGGAAGGGGGGAGGAAGGGGATGGAAGGCGGAAGGGAACAGGCGGGAACCGAGGGGAGGGGGGGAGGTCAAGGATGACGAGGAGGACAACGAGGTTGGCGCAGCTATCGGCCACCTGTCATGAGGGGGCCACAATGGCACAACGAAGATGTGCCACTTTGCCAGCGAGCACGCTGTTACATGCATGTACATTATGGTGCTGATACTTTAATATGGACGTGCAGCTCTAAGCGTGGGGGGCGAAAGGATTCCAGACTGGATGAGTTCGGGCGGGGGTACACGGAGGGGGGTGCACGAAACTCACGATTCAAATATAAGTTCTTCAATTGGACTGGCGTGCTTGCAATTCGATTGTTGTCTTGTGGAGGGGGTTCAATCGAACTTCCTGTGCGAAGTGGTTTCCAATTGGATTTTTTTGTGTGTATGTGCATTTCTTTCGTGGCTAGTTTGCAATTGGATTATTGTGTGGCGGCTGTGCTATTCGGGCCCCTTCTGTAGGGGGCCCAATGATTTCAATGTGTGCCTGCTGTTTTGCGATTCGTTCCAAAATAATGGTTCTACGTTTGTTGTGTGTTTCTGGGTTCTGAATTTCCAATGTTCCACATGTTCGTTTGGTTGTAGGCCCTTTGTAGAACATTTCAAATGTATTCTTTTGGTTGGGCTTACACATGGGGTCCCTTTGCGAGGTGGTTTCCGCTTGAACTTCTTTCGCAGCGGATTGCAACTGCATTCCACTTGTGGCGGGTTTACCGGAGGACTTTTGTAATGGTGGGCTCCCGATTAAATTGTATGTGCGGTGGGTTTACACGTACATGCGCGCTGGCGCGTCACAAAAACTAAAAGCCAGACTTCCGCGACCGAGGGACCCGGCATACTTCCTCTAAGTGGTATGTAATCACTTTGCGTGTGCGTAGCCTCATGGCTTCTGCACGTGCATCGTGAATGTTTTCTATTAGCCATGCCGCTGCCAAGCTTTGCGCGCTTGCGACGAATAGCGCCCCCACACCTTGCCCCTTCTGGTGTCGAGGGTGCGCCACGCCTGCCACACTCTGGGAGCGTGCGACAGATAACGCCCCCACCCCCTGCACACCGCGTCTGATGTCGAAAATGTACCACGCCTGTCACGCTTGTTGGCGTGCGACGGATAGCGCCCCCACCCCCTGCCTGCGCACCCCCTCTGGTGTCGAGGGTGTGCCAAGTCGGCTACACCTTGCGGGCGTGCGACGGATAGCGCCCCCACCCCTTGCGCACCCCCGCGCCATGCCCTGCGAATCCTACGCGTATGGTTTGTGTCGTGCGCGTGTCATGTGGGTGACTAGGTAAGCGTCTGTGTCTTGTGCATGTGTGTGATGTGTATGCGGCTGTGCATGCGCGTGTGTGTATGTGTGTGTGTGTGTGTGTGTTCGTGTGCGTGTGTTCGTGTGTGCGTATCACGCGGTGCGTGGCTGTACTCGCGTATCTGTGTGACGTGTGGGTGTGTGTGTGACTGTGTCTATGGCCCTGGTCCCAGACGAAGACCCCGAGGTCTACCCCGACACCGACGCCGACGCCGACGCCGACGACGGCCCCAACGACGACGCCGACGCCGAACACGTCGCCATCCCGCGTCCCGGACGTCCTTCGTCGCCACGGCTGGAAAAAGCGGCACCCAGACGGCCCTGGCCTCCGACGACGACACCGACGCCTTCCCCGACACCGACGCCGACGCCGGCGGCGACGACGACTGTGACGACGCCCGCGGCGACGCCGACGCCGATGCCGACGCGGGCGCCGGCCCCAACGACGACGCCGACGCCGACCCCATCGCCGGCGAGCGTCCCGGGCTTCCCTCGTCGCCACGACCGGAAAGCGGGACCAGCAGCACAATCGGGATCTGCGGAACCCAGCAGCACAATCCAGTCGGGGCGGTGCGAGGTGACCTTCCTTGCAGCTCGCCGGGGCCGCGGCGGCAGCTGGCGACGGGGGTCACTGCCGACAAGCATCATAACGGGAACCCTTCGCCCGCCCCAGAGGCTCCTCGCTCTTCCCCAGCCACGACGGACACTGGCGACTCCAGCGCCGAGGGCTGCCCCAGCGCCAGTCTGCGAGAGGAGACACCTCCGCCTGCTCGGGGTGGGTTCCTGCTCCTTGTCAAGAGCACCTGGACCGCTTCGCTGGACACCTGCGCCCTCTGGGATTCGTTCACCTCGGACTACATACAGGAAGCAGGGCAAGGGGCGGGCGCGTCCTGAGGGCGTCCCAGCACGCGCCCCGCTCGACTCCCTGAAATCACAGGGATCCCTGGCGGCCCCAGTCAGGAGGATGCAGCAAACAGGTGGTGAACCAAGTGCAGCCTGGAGCAGATATTGCGCTCTGCGCGGCGGCGGCCCCCGCGACCCCAGCCGGCGCGACGCCACTTTCCCCCGCTGCTTTTTTCACCCATACAGCCCCACGCTTTCCCTCGCCGAATCTGCGCCCCGACCTGGCTCACCCTGTCCACCCAGGCAGCGGGGGCCGCCGGCGTCAGCCACAGCTTTGTCCGGTTACGCAGCGCCGCTCGCTGCCCACCCTTGTCCTCCCGGGCAATGGGGGCCGCCCCCGTCCCTCCGCGCGCCGCCGCTGCGCTCGGGCTGCTGCCTGCCGCCGCCTCGCGTTCGGGTTCCTGGGTTTGGTCTTGCCGCCTGTCCCCCCACGTTCTGCCTCCGCCTTCCGCCATGGCGCCGAGCCGCTGCCTGCAGCCGCCAGGGGGCTGGGGTGCTGGGTTCGGCCTTGCCGCCCGCCACCCACTCCCCGCCTCCTTCCGCCGGCCCAGTCCCCCCCCTGGCGATACCGTTTCGCCGCCTCTTCCGCGCCCCTACCTGGGGAATGCGCAGCCACCGCCTGGTCTTCAGGCCCATGACTGTATAGTGTGCGCTTGACTCGCTGGACTCGTTCGGTTCCCGCGCTGGGTCCCGCCGCCGCTGGCACCCCTGCGCAGCAGCCGCCGCAGTCCCCGCCTGCGGGGCTGGCCGCGCCACCCCTTTCGGGCGTGACCCGTCCCCCTGAGCGGCCCTCGCCCGCCCCCCCCTCCTGCGGCCGCCCTCCCTGTCTTCTTTCCTTTTTCCTGCATCCTGGCACAATTCGGCAAACGGTGCCCCCGTTTACATAGCTCTGCCGCCAGCGCAGTTCCTCTGCTTAACCGCCGACGCAAATGTGTGTGTGTGTGTGCTTGTGTGTACGTGTGTTTGTGTGTGCGTGTATGTGTGTGTGTGTGCTGTCGGTGCTAGTGCAGGTGAGACGGAGAAGGAAAGGGAGGAGGTGAGGAGACGCGGGTGCGACGCGGAAAGGAAGAACACCATAACCTTACGAAACATGTGGGAAAACAGAACAACCCAAAGCCAAGTGCACATCTGAAACTCAAACATGACATACCACAGGTGCTGTTCAGATCTGAACTATAACGAAACTCTTAATGCACAGACCTATCTGCATGACTGTATGCCTGAATGCATGTAGATATGCGCGTGTAGAATTATATCCGCGTTGTGCAAAATTATTCGGCTTCGAGCGATCCCCAGCGAAACCTGAAGCGTTTGTTCCCGACGGCTTGTTGGAACGCTGCGCGCGGGGCCCTGTCTCGGCCAGTGCGGCGGTCGGGCCGGGTGGCGAATTCCGTTGTCTCCACATCCAACCCTGGAGCTCCTGACAAAAGAAATTGAAAGAAACCCCGGGGCGAAAAACCAAGCTTCGAAAACGTGCTGTGCGAAACGGATAGAAAGCCACAGCCTGTTGACAGAGGAAGAGGAAGAGCATCAGCAGGAGGAGCAGGAGGAGGCGGACGTTGAAGCAGGAGGAGGAGGAATAGGAGGGAGGTAAGGCGAACATCTCCTCCCTAATTGTCCTCATCTTCCTTCTCCTCCTCCTCCTCCTCCTCCTCCTCCTCCTCCTCCCACCACTGCACAACTGCCGTTTCTGGATTCAGAAATGGTTCAATCGTGTTCCATGTAGTCACGCTCTTCTATGTTATGCTCTATTATGTCCTGTTATGTTATCGACGGGCCGGCGTGACGACATGACGCCTATCACGTTAGATGCATCGTCTGTTACGATGTCCCTCATAACTCATACGTTTCTCTTCTGATTGGACACGTTATGGTATGATCATCTCTGTCACCATGTGTTCTGAGGTGTCGTGGCATGATCTGCTCTGTGACACTGCTTTTCCCGACAATCCTGTGGTGTTGGGTCCTCGAGACGGTCCCCGCGTTCCTCCTCCCTCCTTCCTCCCCCCTCCTCCCCCTCTTCCCTCCTCCCCGCGTTTCACCCACCCAGTACAACGCTTCGTGGCCCCATAGGGAGCTCCATCGAAGCCCCCAGTGGGACCATCCGCATGCGTCCTACACACCCAGTCTGGCATTTTCACCCACCCAGTACAAAGCTTCGTGGCCCCATATGGTGGCTCCACCGAAGCCCCCAGTGGGGCTGACAGCATGTGTCCCGGAGACCCAATGTGGAATTTTCACCCGCCCAGTACAACGCTTCGTGGCCCCACAGGGAGCTCCACCGGAGCCCCCAGTGGGACCGTCGGCGTGCGCCCCAGAAGCCCAAGTTGGCACTTTCACTTACCAAATGCAGCGCTTCGTGGCCCCACAGAGAGCTCCACCGAAGCCCCCAGTGGGACCGCCCGCATGCGCCCCGGAAGCCCAGTGCGGCACTTTCACCAACCGAGTACAACGCTTCGGGGCACCATAGGGAAGTCAAGTCCACCGAAGCCCCCAGTGGGACCGTCCGCGTGCGCCCTGGAAGCCCAATTTGGCATTTTCACCTACCCATTACAACGCTTTGTGGCCCCATAGAGAGCTCCACCGAAGCCCCCAGTGGGACCGCCCGCCTGCCCCGGAAACCAAATTTGGCACTGCCACTCACTCACCCAGTACAGCGATTCGTTGCCCCATAGGAAGCCCTCACCGAAGCCCCCAGTGGGACCGCCCGCACGCGTGCCCCACACACCCAACTTGGCATTTCCACCCACCCAGCACAGCGCTTCGTGGCCCCATGGGGGGCTCCACCGAAGCCCCCATTGAGACCGCCCGCGTGCGTCCCCCACATATCAAAAAATTGTTCTCCCCCAGCGAGCACAAGCACACGATGCTCGTCCATGGGCAAGACCAGTTCGACTGAGCGCCAAATCCGTTTCCCCTCAGGGGGGCTATAACCGCGCTCACATATGACCCGATAGCGGCAAGGCTGTAAATTGGCTGGCCGGGTAAACGTCACCACATTCAGGGAGGAAGGGGAGAAAGACGAGGACGAGGAGGAAGGGCAAGGAGGAGGAGGAGGAGGAGGATAATGGGGGAGGAGGAGGAGGTGGGGAAACAATCCAAAACACCTGGCGCGGCGCAGGCCAACCTGCCGTAGGCGAGCCGTTGCGCGCAGCCATGGTAGAGGAAAAAGAACTATGCACATGCACCGATTCTGGCCAGGCCCATCCTGAGCCCAGGATCGGTGCATACGCCCTCCTACCTTGGCCAGGAAGGCATATGCACCGATCCTGGGTCAAAGATGGGCCTTGCCAGGATCGGTGCATGTGCATGATTATCTTCGCCCGACATGGAATCGAGACACTGGCAAAACGGCATAGTTATACAGCTATGTGGTCATAAGCTCCGTGACTGAACACGGAAACTTGACATTCCCCGAGCAATATAGAAATAAAGGAAAGAGGGGGAGGAGGAGGAGGAGGGGAGGAGACAGGGAGGAGGAAGAGGCTGCTATACCCCAGCAGCGTGCATCTTAAGATTGAGCTTGTCGTGCATCGGTATTGGCAGGGCTCCCGAAGAGGAAGTGGGCGGCCGAAAGCCGCAATGGTGAGCGGGCCTCCCACTCCAACTCCCCAGGATGACGCCCAAGCGCCAATCGAGGTCCTCCAGACCCGGGGGGACGGCAACTCACCAACCACCCTACAGCCAGCACCTGGCCACCGCCGCCGGCCGGGCAGAAACACAGCATCTCAATACATCGTAAGTTATCAAAGCACGCACCGTGCACAACATAAAACAATTATCCTGGCGAAGGACCCAACCATGTGCAGTTGTGAATATCGCATTGCGGGTGCCGCTTTCGGTGGAGCTCCCTATGGGGCCACGAAACGCTGTGCTGGGTGGGGGTGACGCATGCGGGCGGCACCACTGGGGCCTTCGGTGGAGGTCCCCGTGGGGCCACGAAACGCTGTACTGGGCGGCGGTGACGCATGCGGGCGGCACCACTGGGGCCGTCGGTGGAGCTCCCTGTGGGGCCACGAGACGCTGTGCTGGGTGGGGGTGGCGCATGCGGGCGGCACCACTGGGGCCTTCGGTGGAGGTCCCTGTGGGGCCACGAAACGCTGTGTTTGGTGGAGGTGCCGAACTGGGTGTGCGGGACGCATGCGGGCGGCAGCACTGGGGCCTTCGGTGGAGCTCCCTATGGGGCCACGAAACGTGTGAGGGGTGTGCCGAATTAGGTGTGGCTGACGCATGCGGGCTGGGGCCACGAAGCGTGTGAGGGGTGTGCCGAACTGGATGTGGCTGACGCATGCGGGCGGCGGCACTGCGGCCTTCGGTGGAGCTCCCTATGGGGCCACGAAACGTGTGAGGGGTGTGCCGAATTCGGTGTGGCTGACGCATGCGGGCGGCAGCACTCGGGCCTTCGGTGGAGCTCCGTATGGGGCCACGAAACGTGTGAGGGGTGTGCCGAATTGGGTGTGGCTGACGCATGCGGGCGGCGGCACTGGGGCCTTCGGTGGAGCTCCCTATGGGGCCACGAAACGTGTGAGGGGTGTGCCGAACTGGGTGTGGCTGACGCGGCGGGCGGCGGCACTGGGGCCTTCGGTGGAGCCCTGTGGGGCCACGAAACGTGTGAGGGGTGTGTGTGGCTGATTGGGCCTTCGGTGGAGCTCCCTATGGGGCCACGTGCGAATTGGGTGTGGCTGACGCATGCGGGCGGCGGCACTGGGCCTTCGGTGGAGGTCCCGTGGGGCCACGAAACGTGTGAGGGGTGTGCCGAACTGGGTGTGGCTGACGCATGCGGGCGGCGGCACTGGGGCCTTCGGTGGAGCTCCCTATGGGGCCACGAAAGCGTGTGAGGGGTGTGCCGAATTGGACGCATGCGGGCGGCAGCACTGGGGCCTTCGGTGGAGCTCCCTATGGGGCCACGAAACGTGTGAGGGGTGTGCCGAATTGGGTGTGGCTGACGCATGCGGGCGGCAGCACTGGGGCCTTCGGTGGAGCTCCCTATGGGGCCACGAAACGTGTGAGGGGTGTGTCGAATTGGGTGTGGCTGACGCGTGCGGGCGGCGGCACTGGGGCCTTCGGGAAACGTGTGAGGGGGTGTGGCTGACGCATGCGGGCGGCGGCACAGGGGCCTTTGGTGGAGTTCCCTATGGGGCCACGAAACGTGTGAGAGGTGTGCCGAACTGGGTGTGGCTGACGCATGCGGGCGGCAGCACTGGGGCCTTCGGTGGAGCTCCCTATGGGGCCACGAAACGTTTGAGGGGTATGCCGAATTGGGTGTGGCTGACGCATGCGGGCGGCGGCACTGGGGCCTTCGGTGGAGCTCCCTATGGGGCCACGAAGCGTGTGAGAGGTGTGACGATGATGGTGATGATGACGATGATGGTGGGTGATGACGATGATGATGATGATGATGCTGATGATGATGATGATGACGATGATGACGACGAGGATGATGATGATGATGATGCTGATGGGAAGAGGGAGGAGGGGGAAGAGGAGGAGAGGAGGAGAGGAACGCGGGGCACCGTCTCTTCAAAACGAGGACCCAACACCACAGGATGGTTGGGAATAAAAGCGTGCATGTGCCCTCGACCGTGGGGGGGGGGGCACAGGGGAGGGAGGAACGAGGGAAGAACAGGGACAAAAAGGGACAGCCAGCGAATGCCTAGCTGAATGGAGGACGGCAGGACGGTGGGCAGAGACGTGCCAACCCTCCCGCATAGCACGAGGCCGCAGCGGCGGCCCAGCAAGCTAGGCGGGGGCGGTTCCCGCGGGTACACCGCCTCGCCGCCCTATACAGGCAACCGCGGCTCCTGCAGGCACACGGGGGTCACCCTGTACACGCTGTGGATGGAGACCGCAGGGAGGCGGGAGACAGGCCAATCTCTCCGCTCGAATAGCGCAGCCACGCGGCACCGCGCATCCCAGAAGCTGGTGGCCCTGAGCGCACCGGACGCCCAATCCCTGGACGAAACTCGGGCAACTACAGCCGCGGGGCGTCGCCATCGAGGAGCGTCGCGGCTGCATCGCGGGCTCTCTGGCTGGCTGGGGAGAAACAACACGACGAGGGAGGGAGGGGAGGAACGGAGGAGGGGAGGACCGCCCTCTGGGGCGATGCTGGAACGATGCCTGCCCTCCCGGAGGCTGGGGCGCACTGATCGCGCCTCCCGTCCAGGCCGGCCGAAGCAGCACATCCTGCAGACAGAGAGCGCCTGTGCCCGCCGAGCGCGGGACAAAAGCAAGCTCCCGCGAGTGATGTGATGGGTGGGGGCGACGAGGATACGGACGGCAGAGCGTCAAGAGAGTCGAGGCCGCACCCGCCGTCTGCGGTGGCTTTGAAGCCATTGTCGGAGTCTGCGGACCATCGGCGTCCCGATCTGGCCGGCTTGGATGACAGTCATCGGGCGGTCAGACTCCCAGCGCTGCCGCATGATTGGAGCTGCTCGCTGGTGGCCTTTGACGCCCTCCTTGACGGCCCGCGCCAAAACCTGAAATCTGTCCTCCTCCGTGCGGAGAGCGCCGCAACCGCCGTGGGGAAGCTTGTTAGTCACAGAGTAGACAGCGCAAGTGCCCAGGGCCACGCAGGCGAGGTCTTCAGCTGTCACCAGCTCTGGCGTGCACAGCGCTCAGGCAAGAAGACCTGCAAACGCGTTGGCGTCGAGACGGCGTCGTGTCCCGAACAGCCTCCGCACCACCCGGCAGCGGCAGTGGTGTTTGATGCTGTCTTCGCTCCCCTCCACCGCGCATAGCAAGCAACGGCTCAGATGGAGACGCTGGTATCTAACCGCCGTGGTCCACCGATCCCAGATGCACCCCAACTTCGCGCAGTGGACTCTCGGGGGGTCCAACGGGCAAAGGGCCAGGAGGTTCGAATGCCCTCTGGAAGCCTGGTGCCGCGGCGTCTGCTGGCGAACTGTGCCTGCGATCCGGCCGTGGATGCTGGCGTCCCCCAAGTTCCAGACCTCGAATTTGTTCCGGTACCGGCCTGCCGGGTCGCCCCCCAGGTTGTCTGCCACGTGGCAGTGGTAGAACGTGGCCTGGAACTGCTTGCGCCACAAAGCATCCTCCGCAAGCGGGACGGAGGACGCGCACCGGGCGATGCGGACATCGTTGACCGTGCCAAATCGCGTCTGCAGATCGTCGTCTGTGTCCTGCAAGCGGAGCCAGAAGCTGCGCGAGTACCAATCGATCCACACCAGGGCGTCCGCGTTGGCCCAGGCTTGTCGCAGTTGCGCACAATCCTCCTTGAATTGGCGCTGACCGTCGATCCCTCTGTCACAGAGTAGAACTCGCATCTGCGACGCCGCGGCCATCCAGGCCAGGTTGTGGAACGATGCGGCCCCGCCGTAAGCGTCCCGCAAGAGCCAGAGATCCATCGGGGAGGCCCAGGCTGTGGGCCCAGAAGCCAAGCGGAAGAGCGCGGATGGTGCTGCTGTCACAGTACATCCTTGCACTTCTTCCTGCACGTAAGCGTCGGGCCACTCCAACTGCGCCACGTAGAGCAGCGTCGGCAAAATGAAAGCGTTGTAAACCCGAGCCTGCCAGTGCAACCCGAGTGGCGCGTCTCGCCACAAACAGACATATGTGAATACATCAATGTGGAGAAACATGCCCATATGTGATTTCTGGGCCTGGTACTGATTACTACAATCATTATGCTGCAGGATTTCACGAGTGCTTCCGTTGTGAGGAAATTGCTGGTCAATTCTCTTATGGCGCATTTAGAATTATAGTCCTCCCATCCCCATCCCCATCCCCCCACCCTCCCACATCCCTAACCCTCACCGCTTCAATGTCCCTCATCCTCCCTCTGATCACCTTCATCCCCCTCCTCACCATCCCCCTCTCCTCACCCTCCTCACCCCCCCATTTTCTGGCAGCTGGGGCGGGTCCCGCTCCAGTCGGCATCCGACTGTAAAGCCAACGACACAATAACTCAGAGAAGGGTTTGGGTAAGCTCCGTTCTCATTGAGCGCCGAAGAAAATGAGCCACGCGAACGGCCCAACCAGTTGCAGGTGTGAGGGCTCACTTGTAAGAGTCGTCTTCGGTGGCGCTCCCCAGGGGCCTCGAAACGTGTGGGGGGTGTGCCGACATGGGGGCAGGGGGGACACACGTGTACCCTCCCACTGTGGTCTTCGGCGGAGCTCCCTGTAATTAGGCCCGTGAAACGTGTGCGGGGTGTGCCCGTGTGGGGGCGGGGGGACGCATGTGGACTGTGCCACTGGGGCCTTCGGAGGAGCTCCCTAGGGGGCCTCGAAACGTGTGAGTGGTGTGCCGAAATGGGGCGAGGGGACGCATGTGGACTGTGCCACCGAGGCCTCAGGTTGAGCTCCCTATGCGGCCACCTGCTCCCTGCCTGCTGTCCCCGCCGGGCCTTCCTTCTGCCTGCCCGCCCGGCCCGCCGGCTCTGGCTTCTCGCCTGGGCGTTCGTCGTCGTCTGCCTGCGTCTCTCGTCCTCGTCCCCTTCCGCCTGGCAGCACAGCCTGCCTGGGACCAGCGTGGCGCATACAGATGTAGGTGCATCCACGCGGACCGCAGGCCCCTCGACTGGCGCCCCTGTGAGGAGTGTGCTGGAATTGGACTGGGGGACGCATGTGGACTGTATCACTGGGGCCTTCGGTTGAGCACCCTATGGGGCCACGAAGTGTGTGGTGGGTGTGCAGGCGCAAGGGCGGGAGGAAGGCGTGGAGACGCGGGGCGCTATATCTTCAGAACGAGGACCCAACGCCACAGGCAAGTGCTTGGGAGGGCAGGGTGGACACCATTCTCATTGAATTCGCATCGCAAAAACGGTCAAACATTTGATTTGTGAGTGGATGGGATCGGCGCCAGTCCTCGTGGGGGGTAGGATGAGCGCCGTTCTTGAGGGCTACTGGAAGCAATTACACAATTGAAGAACTGTGCGGGGAAAGGGATGGCCGCCCATGGCTGCCCTTCCTACTCAATCACCATTGGTAATCAGGTCAATGTTTGAATGATGTAAGGTGAGGTGCTGTGGGCGCCATGTGCATCAACGTCTTCATGTCAACAACCAGAAAACAATAATCTGTCGATGGGTCCATGGAACGGCCGCCCGACCTATTGAATCCCTATTGACGAGCAAACGGGGAACGTGAACTCTACGGATGGATGAGCTTGGCACCTTTCTTATTGAATCCTCATGACCATCACACATTTAGGGGCAATGGTTCTGAGAAGGGTGGTGGGATGGCCTCCCCCTAAACCCCAATTGAAGACGCACGGGCTTTCAGGACACCAGAAGGGGGATGGGATGGCCGCCCTCCCTATTGAATCCTTTGTGTGGGCGTGGGAGTGGCGCCATTCGAAATGAATTCCCGATGGAATAAACAGAATATGAAAATCGCTCCATGGGGGGATGGAACGACGCCCCTTCTTTCTGAGTCCCTGTTGTTAACATTCCGAATGTTTGAAGACTTCTATTAGGGGGATGGCATGGTCGCCCACAAATCCTGGCTCAGCGCGAAGATGATGTTTCAACGTTGTGTGGGGGTGAGATGGGCACACTTCGGATGACATCTCAACGAAACCAACATAACAAATACATTGCTCAAGCAATGCCGGGAAACAACGCCCCCTGCTGGGCCTCATGCGCAAACAAACAAAATCAAGCCAAAGGCTGGGGGAGGCATGTGTGGGAAGACGAGGAGACAGGGATGATTCAGACCATGGGCCCCTCGATCCCCATCGGCCTTCGGCGGCCTTCTGCAAGAGTGAGGAACGGCTGCGCTCAACAATGCGCTCATGATCGAACATCCGAGGGTTGGGCGACGGACAGACGAGCCTAAGTCGTGGAAGGAAAACGTATCCGTATCCGCGGCACCGCAGGCCAGGCCCCTGGGCCGCGACACCGCGGATACGGGGCGTTTATTCGCGGATGACTCGCGCGGAACGTATCCATGCGACCGCGTATCCGCGGGATCGCACCCCGGAATCCAGACCGCGAGGGCGCGGAAACGGATTTGCTTGCTGATCGTGACCAAGAAAAGGGCCACGGTGTGCTTCTAGAGGAGCAAAGGATGGCATAAACATTCAGTTCCGAAGGTCCGCGTGGACGTCCGAACGTTGATGCTCCTGGAATGCCTTGTTCCCCGAGATCGGGTCCCAGGGCTCCCGAGCGGAAACCTCGCGTTCACTCCCGACGGGACGCCGTCGACTGGCGGCTTCCAAAAATCCAGCGGCCCCAGGCCGCACGTGCAGCCAGTCGCCTGGGCACGCTCCTCGCGCGAGTCTGGCCTCACAGAGGTCGCCTGCTGCCTTCGCGCGTCGCGAGGCGCGATGCGCAATGTCTTCACGACCGCGCGCTGCCCTCCCTCTTCCGCCCTGCACTTGGGGAGAGGGACAGCATAGAGGACACAAAGGCCTCGAGGCGAAGAATTTTGGGGGCAGGGGCCACGGCCGCTACAGACAGCGGCCACCTTCTTGATCTCGACCTTGATCGCACTCTTCTCCTCTTCCTGGCCGCGCTTATTATTTCTGCAATGCGTCTCCCCCTGTCCCTCCTCCTCCTCATCCTCCTCTTCCTCCTCCATATTCTCCTTTTCTGTCTCTTCTTCCTCCTCCTCCTCCTCCTCTTCTTCCTCCTCCTCCTCCTCCTCCTCCTCCTCCCCCCCTCCTCCTCCATCTCATCGTCATCATCGTCATCATCATCATCATCATCATCATCATCATCCTCAACCTCTACGGCGTCCTCTGCTCCACGCACCTTCACTGCCAGACCCAGGCGTAAAGGAACCGTCAGCGCGGCAACGGGCGACGATGAGAGGGCGTCGGTCCGCCACCTGCTGAGGCCTCGCAGCAGCAAAGGGAAGCAAGGAAGGCGATGCGAATCTGCAACCGCTCTCGCCCCGCATCAACCCGCAAGGGGGCGACACCGAACAGCGATGGGGACGAAGGGAGGAGAAGGAGGGAGAGGGGAAGGAGGCGTGGAGGGATGACAGAAGAAGGCGAGATGTGGAGCAAAGCAGGATGCAAGGACGACGGATGAGGGAGGCAGGCGGTAAGGAGGACCAAGGGGGGAGTAGCAGCTCAGCATGCGGATGGCAACGAGATCACCGCCTCGCCGCGCCCGCCGTCCGTTCCGCGATCGATCTCTGAAAACTCACGCACCGCCGCGACAAGAACTTGGCCCATTAATCATTCCGCGGCGAATGAAGGCGAGAGCGTCGCAAGACTTGCGATGGCCCTCCCCTCCCCCGTAGAGTAGCGCACCACGATGACAAAGCACAGCGATGGCACAGCCGCGGCGGATGAACAAATTCTTCCACTGCTACTAATTAGTAGTAACTGTCTATCTCAAGGCACAATTTCTTCCCCCTATTCTTTGACGCCCAGGAAATATTCTTCCTCGCCGACGCAAAGGAAGTCCACTTGGAAAGGCAAGTGGGCCAAAACTTTCGCCCCGCCAGAAGAGCGCCCAACGCAGTTGTTTGCAGGCCTGGTGCCTTCAACCGCAGGTGGCATTTTCGTCTCTTCCTCCGCCCCGCGCCTGCCGGCCCCCCCGAGATCCCGCCGCGCTGCGCCTGCGCGGCGCTGCGCGTCGCAAAACGGATCGCTCTGGCACGAAAGTTCGGAACGACGATGGCCCCCGAACGCGGGCGTCGGAATGGGGCTCTCGCCGTCGCGCCGGCGACTTCAGGGGGGCGCGCGAGGAGATCATCCGGACGAGGGGGGCGCGGGTGACATGGGCCGCGGGCCCGACGGCGGATTCTCGGCCGCGCCCGAGCAGCGTGCCGGGCGCAATTTTCCTGGCATCGCCGCGCCCAAGCAGCGCGCCAGCTCTTGAGGTTAGACTTTCGGGTCGGCGGCGGCGCGTTGCCGACCGCTGACCCCCGGGCAGATGGGCGCCCAGTTGGAACGAAAGCGCGGCTGGGGCCGAGCGGGCCCTTGCGCGATGGAGAGGCGCGGCGCTATGGCCCTGGCGCGACGGAGAGACGTGGCGCTCCGGGGCCACCCCTTACATGCCCCCAGCTCAGCACGCGGAGGACAATGCGATCACCTCCTCGCCGCGCCCGCCGTCCGCTCCGCGACCGAACTCTGCAAATTCACGCAGGTGCATCCAGCGTTTTTTTGTGGGCCAGGCGCCATCAACCGCAGGTTGCATTTTCTCACCCTCCGCCCCGCGCCTGCCAGCCCCCAGAGATCCCGCTGCGCAGCGTCCACGCGGCGGCGCCGTGCATCGCAAGACGGAGTGCTCTGGCGCGCACTTTCGGAACGCCGATGGCCTCCGAACGCGGGGCGTCGAAATGGCGCTCTCGCTGTCGCGCCGGCGACTTCAGGAGGGCGCGCAAGGAGATCATCCGGAAGAAAGGGGCGCGCGTGGAATGAGCCGCGGGCCCGACGGCGGTTTCTCGGCCGCGCCCGAGCAGCGTTCCAGGCGCAGGTTCCCCGGCATCGCCGCGCCCAGGCAGCGCGCCAGCTGCTCGGGCTCTGGCGGTTAGACTTTCGGGTCGGCGGCGGCGCGTCGCCGACCGCTGACCCCCGGGCAGACGGGCCCCCTGGCTCGAACGAGAGCGCGGCGGGGGCCGAGCAGGCCCTCGCGCGACGGAGAGAGACGGCGCTCCGGCCCCGGCGCGACGGAGAGACACGGCGCCCGCGGGCCCTGGGGCTACCCCCTACATGCCCCGAGCTCAGCATGCGGGGGACAGCGAGATCACCTCCTCGCCGCGCCCGCCGTCCGTTCCGCGACCGAACTCTGCAAGTTCACGCGCCGCTTGCCGCGGCGAGTGAAGACGAGAGGGTCGCGAGACTTGCGACGGCCCCCCCTTCCACCGTCGACTCCTACAACGAGACGACAATGCGCGGCGATGGCGCGGCCGCGGCGGAAGACTAAATTCTTCCGCTGGGCTTACTTAGTCATAACAATGTATTTCGGGCCACGAATTCTATTTTTTGACGCGCGGGAAATTCAGCCGCGCTGGCGCGAGGGGGCTCCGCTGGCAAAGGCAACCGGGCTTCAGAAAGCTGGGCTTGCACGAAGGCGGGACTTGACGCAGGCAGCTGGATACGTATACCTATGCCCATGAACACAAATACGAACTCTATACATACATATATATATATACGTGTATATATATACATAGATCTAAATATGAATCGAGCGAGAGAGCGAGAGAAAGAGAGAGAGAGAGAACAAAAAAGAGGGAGAGAGAGGGACAGAAGAGAGACAGAGAGGGACAGAGAGAACAAACAAAAAGAGAAAGAACGCGAGAGAGAGAGAGTGAGTTATATATATATATAGAAAGAGAGAGAGGAAAACTCAAGAGAGGGAACAACGGGAGGCGTGGCGCGGCGCTGTGAAGGGGGGAGTGGGAGTAGAGGGCGGCGAGGCAGGAAGGAGGCGGGGAGGGGGAGAGGGGACGCCGAGGCCCCCGAGGCCGCCCGGGCGTCCTGGCTGTCGATGCGGCTGGCCAAGTACGAGTTCTGTGTCTGCAGCTGCTGGACCCTGTCCCCGACCACGGACATCTCCTTCTCGGCCTTCTCCTAGCGGGGGAAAGGCAGGGAGGGGATCCAACGAAGCCGTTGGCCGATAGGAGAAGGCAGAAAACAGGAGGGAACATAAGGATGAGGAGGAGGAGGAGACCCATCCTCTTCCTCGTCCTCCTCCTCCATCCTCCTTCCTTCTAAACATCTCCTCTCTGTCGCACCCCGAGGCCGGTCGAAAGGGCGGGACGGGCGTTTCGCCTCAGACTTCCTCACCACTGAGGATCCTGAAGCTTAAAGTTTGCAGCCGGTTCACGGATGGAGGGCGGGTCGCTTTTATAAAATGTATCTCTCGCCTCAGCGCCGCGCACGTTCGTCTTTCTTAAATTGCAAGATTTTCGTGGATGGAGGGCGGACCACTTTCAAAATGTGGCTCTCGCCTTGGCGCCGCGTACAAGTGTGATAAAAGTGTGTTATATGCTCGCGGTTGGAGGGCAGTCCGCTATCAAACTGTGGCTCCCGCCTTAGCGATGCGCACATTCGTCTCATGCAAGAGCTTCAGGGATGGAGGGGCGGCTCCTTTTCGAAGATTTGTTCCCCTCGCCTTAGCGCTGCGAGCATTCGTCTTCAGAGTTTGAAGCGATTTCAAGCATTCTCATGGTTAACGTCCCAGAAATTGCTTTTAGGCACGATGTCGGGATGTCAGGGCGCGACAGTCACGTTGATTCGCGGTGCTGACGTCCCAAGAATGGTGTTCTGGCACGATACAGGGCCGTCAAGACGCAAGAGCAACGGTAATTCGCGGCGTTGGAATTCCAGGAATGGTGTTCTGGCAAAGCCCTGGATTTCTCAACGGTTATCCTCCAACGGGGCACTTCCTTCGGTAAAACTGACTCCTTTTAGGGGCCTGGGAAAAGGGAGCTTGGAGGGAGGCTTCATTGTATAATCTTGGCTAAGTCTTAGGTTTACACTTGTCCTCCTCCTCCTTCTCCTCCTCCTCCTTCTCCTCCTCCTCCTTCTCCTCCTCCTCCTCCTCCCACCATGATCATCGCCGAAACACGATATCGCAACACCATCCTCATCATCATTCTCATCATCAAACTCGTCGTCATCATCATCAGCAGCATCAACATCATCGTCGTCAGCATCAGCCTCATCATCATCCGCCTCATCCTCGTCCTTATCCTCATCCTCCTTCTCCGGTCTTCCTCCTCCTCCTCCTCCTCCTCCTCCTCCTCATCATCATCATCATCATCATCATCATCATCATCATCATCATCGGCATCGGCATCGGCATCGGCATCATCATCACCGCCACCACCATCATCGAAATCACCGACATCATCATCATTATCATCATTACCACCATCATCATCACCATCCCCATCCCCATCACCACCATCACCGTCATCGTCAGCATAAACATCATCATACTCATCACCACCATTCCTATCATCAGCATCATCACCATGTCATCGCCATCGTCATCATCATCTTTCAGCAGCATCATCATCGTCATCGCCATCGCCATCGTCATCGTCATCCCTACCTCCATCCCACAAGTCGTCTTCGTTGCCGATGCTGATGCCAATGCTTGTGTGCTCGTCCCTCATCATGATCGGCCTTCTGCTGGAGGAGCCTGGGCAGGCCAAGCAGGAGGACACGATAGGCAACAGCGGCAGTCGGTCGCGGCGGGGCTGGCGGCGAGGGGCCGCCGAAGTGACCTCAGCGAGCCAGAGGCAGCGGCGGCTAGATGGGACGCAGAAGAACATGCCAATACTATGCGGCCCCCGCGGAGGCGCATGTCCGAACTGAACACATCCGCATCTGCGCCCTCGCGGTCTGGATTTCGGGCCGATGCCGCGGATACGCGGTCGCACAGACACGTTCCGCGCGGGGCATCCTCAACAATTACGCGACCGAGGAACCCCACATGCTTTATTTAAATCTTATGTGTTTGCTTAAGCTTATAATCTATGCGCAATTCTGCGTTCTGAACCCTCGTCGCGAATGTCCCCCTATGTGTCATCCAACGCCACATTGCTTGAACCTCTCCCCTCTTCCTAGCCTTCTATCCTCCATATAGGACAGATTCGAGCCAGCCAGCGGCCGCGGTGAGGGACCACCCCCTGCGCACCCTCTATGGTGTCGAGAAAGTGCCCTGGACGACCGTCGTGCATAGCGGCCGCGGTGAGGGACCACCCCCTGCGCACCCTCTATGGTGTCCAGAAAATGCCAGGCCTGCTATGCCCTGGACGACCGTCGTGCATAGCGGCCGCGGTGAGGGACCACCCCCTGCGCACCCCCTATGGCGTCGAGAAAGTGCCACGCCTGCTATGCCCTGGACGACCGTCGTCCAAGGCCGCGCTGAGGGACCACCCTCTGCGCACCCCCTGTAGTGTCGAGAAAATGCCACTCCTGCCACGATCTGCGAGCGTGTCACGGATAGAGGCCGCGCTGAGGGACCACCCTCTGCGCACCCCCTGTGGTCTCGAGAAAGTGCCACTCCTGCCACGATCTGCGAGCGTGTCACGGCTAGAGGCCGCGCTGAGGGACCACCCTCCGCGCACCCCCTGTGGTCTCGAGAAAGTGCCACTCCTGCCACGATCCGGGAGCCTGTCACGGATAGAGGCCGCGCTGAGGGACCACCCTCTGCGCACCCCCTGTGGTGTCGAGAAAGTGCCACTCCTGCCACGATGTGCGAGCGTGTCACGGATAGATGCCGCGCTGAGGGACCACCCTCTGCGCATCCCCTGTGGTGTCGAGAAAATGCCACTCCTGCCACTGCGAGCGTGTCGCGGCTAGAGGCCGCGCTGAGGGACCACCGTCTGCGCACCCCCTGTGGTGTCGAGAAAGTGCCACTCCTGCCACGATCTGCGAGCGTGTCACGGATAGAGGCCGCGCTGAGGGACAACCCTCTGCGCACCCCCTGCGGTCTCGAGAAAGTGCCACTCCTGCCACAATCTGCGAGCGTGTCACGGCTAGAGGCCGCGCTGAGGGACCACCCTCTGCGCACCCCCTGTGGTGTCGAGAAAGTGCCACTCCTGCCATGATCTGCGAGCGTGTCACGGATGGAGGCCGCGATGAGGGACCACCCTCTGCGCACCCCCTGTGGTGTCGAGAAAATGCCACTCCTGCCACGATCTGCGAGCGTGTCACGGATAGAGGCCGCGCTGAGGGACCACCCTCTGCGCACCCCCTGTGGTGTCGAGGAAGTGCCACTCCTGTCGCGATCTGCGAGCGTGTCACGGATAGAGGCCGCGCTGAGGGACCACCCTCTGCGCACCCCCTGTCGTGTCGAGGAAGTGCCACTCCTGCCAGCGTGTCACGGATAGATGCGTGTTGCTGAGCTGAGCTGAGCTGTGCTGAGCTGTACTGTGCTGTGCTGAGCTGAGCTGAACTGTGCTGAGCAATGCTGTGCTGCGCTGTGCTGTGTGCGTGAGGAGGAGAAGGTGGAGGGGAGGAGGGCGGGTGTGGGTGAGACGCGGGTGCGGCGCGGGTGGGAAGAAAACCAGAACCCCACGAATGTTCCCCTATGTGTCATCCAACGCCATGCTGCTTGAACATCCTCCCTCTTCCTAGCCTTCTATCCTCCATCGAGGACAGATTCGAGCCAGCCAGCGGCCGCGGTGAGGGACCACCCCCTGCGCACCCTCTATGGTGTCGAGAAAGTGCCCTGGACGACCGTCGTGCATAGCGGCCGCGGCGAGGGACCACCCCCTGCGCACCCTCTATGGTGTCCAGAAAATGCCAGGCCTGCTATGCCCTGGACGACCGTCGTGCATAGCGGCCGCGGTGAAGGACCACCCCCTGCGCACCCCCTGTCCCGTCGAGAACGTGTCACGCCTGCTATGCCCTGGACGACCGTCGTGCATAGCGGCCGCGCTGAGGGACCACCCTCTGCGCACCCCCTGTGGTGTCGAGGAAGTGCCACTCCTGCCACAATCTGCGAGCGTGTCACGGGTAGAGGCCGCGCTGAGGGACCACCCTCTGCGCACCCCCTGTGGTGTAGAGGAAGTGCCACCCCTGCCACGATCTGCGAGCGTGTCACGGCTAGAGGCCGCGCTGAGGGACCACCCTCTGCGCACCCCCTGTGGTGTCGAGAAAATGCCACTCCTGCTGCGAGCTGCGAGCGTGTCACGAATAGAGGCCGCGCTGAGGGACCACCCTCTGCGCACCCCCTGTGGTGTCGAGGAAGTGCCACTCCTGCCGCGATATGCGAGCGTGTCACGGATAGAGGCCGCGCTGAGGGACCACCCTCTGCGCACCCCCTGTGGTGTCGAGGAAGTGCCACTCCTGCCACGATCTGCGAGCGTGTCACGGATAGAGGCCGCGCTGAGAACAACCCTCCGCGCACCCCCTGTGGTGTCGAGGAAATGCCACTCCTGCCTCGCCCTGCGAGCGTGTCACGGATAGAGGCCGCGCTGAGGGACCACCCTCTGCGCACCCCCTGTGGCGTCGAGGAAGTGCCACTCCTGCCACGATCTGCGAGCGTGTCACGGATAGAGGCCGCGCTGAGGGACCACCCTCTGCGCACCCCCTGTGGTCTCGAGAAAATGCCACTCCTGCCACGATCTGCGAGCGTGTCACGGATAGAGGCCGCGCTGAGGGACCACCCTCTGCGCACCCCCTGTGGTGTCGAGAAAGTGCCACTCCTGTCGCGATCTGCGAGCGTGTCACGGATAGAGGCCGCGCTGAGGGACCACCCCCTGCGCACCCCCTGTCGTGTCGAGGAAGTGTCACTCCTGCCAGCGTATCACGGATAGATGCGTGTTGCTGAGCTGAGCTGAGCTGTGCTGAGCTGTGCTGTACTGTGCTGTGCTGAGCTGAACTGTGCTGAGCAGTGCTGTGCTGTGCTGTGTGCGTGAGGAGCAGTGCTGTGCTGTGCTGTGCTGTGCTGTGCGTGAGGAGGAGGAGGAGGAGGAGGAGGAGGAGGAGGAGGAGGAGGGGAGGAGGGCGGGTGTGGGTGAGACGCGGGTGCGGCGCGGGTTGGAAGAAAACCATTACGCTACCGATGAACCCCACATGCTTATATAATTTAAATCTTATGTGCTGGCTTAAGTTTGTAATGTATGCGCAATTTTGCGTTCTCAGCCCTCGTCGCGAATGTTCCCCTCTGTGTCATCCAACGCCATATTGCTTGAACATCCTCCCTCTTCCGAGCCTTCTATCCTCCATCGAGGACAGATTCGAGCCAGCCAGCGGCCGCGGTGAGGGACCACCCCCTGCGCATCCTCTATGGTGTCGAGAAAGTGCCACGCCTGCTATGCCCTGGACGACCGTCGTGCATGGCGGCCGCGGTGAGGGACCACCCCCTGCGCAGCCTCCATGGTGTCGAGGAAATGCCGCGCCTGCTATGCCCTGGACGACCGTCGTGCATAGCGGCCGCGGTGAGGGACCACCCCCTGCGCACCCCCTATGACGTCGAGAAAGTGCCACGCCTGCTTTGCCATGGACGACCGACGTGCATAGCGGCCGCGCTGAGGGACCACCCTCTGCGCACCCCCTGTGGTGTCGAGAAAGTGCCACTCCTGCCACGATCTGCGAGCGTGTCACAGATAGAGGCCGCGTTGAGGGACCACCCTCTGCACACCCCCTGTGGTGTCGAGAAGGTGCCACTCCCGCCACGATCTGCGAGCGTGTCACGGATAGAGGCCGCGCTGAGGGACCACCCTCTGCGCACCCCCGTGGTGTCGAGAAAGTGCCACTCCTGCCACGATCTGCGAGCGTGTCACGGATAGAGGCCGCGCTGAGGGACCACCCTCTGCGCACCCCCTGTGGCGTCGAGAAAGTGCCACTCCTGCCTCGCTCTGCGAGCGTGTCGCGGATAGAGGCCGCGCTGAGGGACCACCCTCTGCGCACCCCCTGTGGTGTCGAGAAAGTGCCACTCCTGCCACGATCTGCGAGCGTGTCACGGATAGAGGCCGCGCTGAGGGACCACCCTCTGCGCACCCCCTGTGGCGTCGAGAAAGTGCCACTCCTGCCACGATCTGCGAGCGTGTCACGGATAGAGGCCGCGCTGAGGGACCACCCTCTGCGCACCCCCTGTGGTGTCGAGAAAGTGCCACTCCTGCCACGATCTGCGAGCGTGTCACGGATAGAGGCCGCGCTGAGGGACCACCCTCTGCGCACCCCCTGTGGTGTCGAGAAAGTGCCACTCCTGCCACGATCTGCGAGCGTGTCACGGATAGAGGCCGCGCTGAGGGACCACCCTCTGCGCACCCCCTGTGGTGTCGAGAAAGTGCCACTCCTGCCACCTGCGAGCGTGTCACGGATAGCCGCGCTGAGGGACCACCCTCTGCGCACCCCCTGTGGTGTCGAGAAAGTGCCACTCCTGCCACGATCTGCGAGCGTGTCACGGATAGAGGCCGCGCTGAGGGACCACCCTCTGCGCACCCCCTGTGGTGTCGAGAAAGTGCCACTCCTGCCACGATCTGCGAGCGTGTCACGGATAGAGGCCGCGCTGAGGGACCACCCTCTGCGCACCCCCTGTGGTGTCGAGAAAGTGCCACTCCTGCCACGATCTGCGAGCGTGTCACGGATAGAGGCCGCGCTGAGGGACCACCCTCTGCGCACCTCCTGTGGTGTCGAGAAAGTGCCACTCCTGCCACGATCTGCGAGCGTGTCACGGATAGAGGCCGCGCTGAGGGACCACCCTCTGCGCACTCCCTGTGGTGTCGAGAAAGTGCCACTCCTGCCACGATCTGCGAGCGTGTCACGGATAGAGGCCGCGCTGAGGGACCACCCTCTGCGCAACCCCTGTGGTGTCGAGAAAGTGCCACTCCTGCCACGATCTGCGAGCGTGTCACGGATAGAGGCCGCGCTGAGGGACCACCCTCTGCGCACCCCCTGAAACCAAAACCCCACGAAGCATGTGGGGAAAAACGACCCGTAAGGTCGCGACCCAAGGGCCCGGCCAGCGAGGCCGCGGATACGAATACGTTGTTCGCCTGCGACGCACGTCCGAGCCAAACTATAGCACGGACACGTGATCACACATTGTTGCCCAAGCGGTATGGTCAGAAATCGCCAGCAACGAGCCTGTGCTACAACATTTCTGAACGCGAGCGCCGCCCCCGCGGGGCCGACGCACAGATCCGCCAACGTGCCTGCACGGAGTGGGCGAGGTATAACATTCGTTTGCTGTCAAGAAGTTGTTGGATGTGTTAAGCCTCCCCCTCACGACTCACGCGTCGTCCTGAGATCACCCCGCCTGAATGTCCTCTTCAGTGTTCTTTTCGGCCGCCAGACGGCAGATGACCTCCAAGATGGCTGCCAAGAGAGCCAGGATGATAACTAGACGGTCCAAGACGGCCCAAGATGGCCCAAGACGGCTCAAGCGGCTCCCAAGACGGCCTGAAGAATGCCCAAGAGGTCCCCACGACGACCCAAGAGAGCTCCGAGAGACCCTCCAGAAGAGCCCGAAGATGCAAACACCAGTGATTTTCCATATAGGTGTTTCGGTTTGTGGGGCTCTCGCTTGTTTCGGTTTCCGACCGTCCAAGACGGCCCCAGAGGCCTGCAACATAGCTCGAACACAGCAGATGAAACCCCCAAAAGAGGGCCCCCAGCCGGCCTGAGGGGACCCTAAGATCGCCCAAGGCCTTCCCAGAGGGCCCCAAGACGGCCCAGAAAGGCTCCCAAGACAGCCTCCGAAGGCATCACACGGGCCAAGAGCCCCCGAAGATGGCCCATCAGGCCCCCAGAGCCAAGAGGCCCCCGGGAGGCCCCCGGCAGGCTCCCAGGAGGCCCCAGAGAGCCCCCCAAAGGCATGTTCCTCCTTGTCATCATCTTCTGCTCTTTCCTCCTCCTCCTCCTCCTCCTCCTCCTCCTCCTCCTCCTCCTCCTCCTCCTCCTCCTCTTCCTCCTCCTCCTCCTCCTCCTCCTCCTCCTCCTCCTCCCTACCGCGCGGGCGAAGATGAGGTCGAGTTCACGACCCACCTCAACTCAGACCGCTCGCTGAACTGCAGCGTGAAGTCAACCTCCCCCCATACCGCGCGGACGAAGATGAGACCGAATTCAAGACCCGTCCAAACTCAGACCAGTAGTCGGAATCGCGCTGTTCCGACACTCAGTCTCCTTCATGCTGCGCGTGGTGCCGTCACTGGATGATCGGAGGGGAAGTTGTGTCAACTTTCTGGTGCAAGGGACGTTTCGCGTTCCCGCTGGAGCGCTCCTCGTCTGCGACGGCATGCTTGCAACGGGATGGCGGCAATGAGCGCCTTGAAAGCAGAATTTTACCCACTCTACCCTTGTGCTGGATCGAACCTCGAGCGACAAGAAAAGAGGCTACGCGTTTCGCCCCCTACGGGCTAGTCGGGCCAAATTGCCTACTGTGCAGCATCGAACGAGCATCATCGACGACCGCCGTGCACTGCACCTCTCCGCTCCGCCTCCGATTACATCGTCGCCGATGCTCGCTCGATCCTGTCCTGGCACAAACTTGTGCCGCTAAACGGTACGCTCGAACCTTGCCAGAGAGCCCAAAAAGGGCGGGCGTCCCGCGCCTCCCGGGCAGATGCCTCCCCCGCGCAAAGCCTCCCTCGGCTTCCAACGAGCTCCGACCCCCACTGTGCCAGCCTGCCCACAGAGGGGAAGACCCCCCCCCCCAGGAGGTAGCCCTGGCGGGCCTCAACAGGCCCCCCGAATAGTCCCAGCTGGCCTCAACAGGCTCCCCGAGTAACCCTGGCGCCGCCTCTGGCGGTGCCCCAGGGGCGCTGCGCGCCCTAGGCTTCCTCCTCCTCCTCCTCCTCCTCCTCCTCCTCCTCCTCCTCCTCCTCATGTTCCTGATTCTCTATTCTCCTCCTTCTTCTCCTCCTGCTCATCTTCCTGCTCCTTCCTTCCTTCCTTCCTTCCTTCCTTCCACTCCGCTTGGCGCCGCCCCCAGGTCGGGGCGCGCGCCCGGCCGGGCCGCGCGGCACGGGCCCTGATAAGCCAGCGAGCTGTGCCCGCATGCTGCCCTTCCCCGCGGCCGGGGGCTGTTCGGCTGGAGCCTGACGCCGACGCGGGGGGCTCCGCACCTACAGCCCCCGGGGAAGGGGTCGCCCGGAGCGCCGCGCGGGCCTGACCCCCCGGCAGCCCCGCTTTGGGCTGGGTCGCTGCCGGTGGGTACTCGGCCTGGAGAGGAAGGGCTTGACCCGGCGGGGACTGGGGGCCGGGGCCAGGGGGCCGAGGGGCCGGGGACCAGGAGCACTACGGGCCGGGGCCTAGGTGGGCCCGCCCGAGAGGCGAACGCCGGCCAGGCCACGGAACGAAGACGGCTTCTCAGAGGGCCAGAGGGGTTCTGAGAAGCCCCGCTGCTGTCTGAGAAGGACTGCCCGCTCTCACTTCCCCCCCTGGGCGCTGATCGGAGCAACGGGGAGGGAGGTGGGAGGCAGGGGAAGGCAAAGTGAGGCACGGGAGGGTCGGGGGGACGTGAAGGTGGGGTAGGGGCACGGGTGTGAAGGAAATGTGCGAGAAGGAAATGCGAGTATCCAGCGGGGTCTGTTCCCTAATCGGGCATCTTGGGATTACCCCCCCCCTCTGCGAACTCCAGAGAGGGTCGGATTAGGCGATGGGCGGCCGGACCCGCAGTCGACAGCCGACCTGGAACGGGCGATCGACTCTGCGCGGAAGCACGGACGGGTGGGCAAGAACCTCCTGATGATGAGGTAAGAGCACCTCCTGGGCACGGGTGATTGTTCTGGCCTGCCTGATGAGGTAAGAGCACCGTTGACGCTTCCAAAATCTCCGTCCTTGGGAGAAGCATCGGTGAGCACGCTACGAGGCATGCCAACTCAAGATGGAGGCACGCGCACATCGCGGCAACATGCCGCGACGGGCAGAAGGAGGAGGGGGAGGGGTAATAGCACAAGCGTCCTGGGCCTGCTGCGAAGCGGTGACGGCCTCCTCCGACTTCCGGTTCTTCTTCTTCAGCACGGCCGACTCCTGCTCGGCCTCCCGGCGCTCTTGCTCCGCCAGCACCTCGGGTCGTCGTCGCCGGTTGCGCCGCCGCCGTCGCTCTCCCCGGGCGGCCCCCCAAGCGCGGTGGCGCATTCGCGCGGCAGCGCAACTGGATAGATCAGCCAGCAACCAAATATCATCCCGGCAAAGCAACCTAACAGCGATGTGTAGGAGCATATCTGGAAGCATTCCCCTTAAGATTCAGATGAGAATCCAGTTGTAGAATTCTGCTGCTCTCGCAGTCGTAGTCGCATTCGCGATGACAGTCGCAGTGGCAACGGCAGTCGCAGTCACAGCCTCAGCCTCAGCCTGCCTCAGCCTCAGCCTCAGCCTGCCTCAGCCTCAGCCTGCCTCAGCCTCAGCCTCAGCCTGCTTCAGCCTCAGCCTCAGTCTGCCTTCAGCCTCGGCCTCAGCCTCAGCCTGCCTCAGCCTCAGCCTGCATCAGCCTCAGCCTCAGCCTCAGCCTGCCTCAGCATCAGCCTGCCTCAGCCTCAGCCTCAGCCTGCCTCAGCCTCAGCCTCAGCCTGCCTCAGCCTCAGCCTCAGCCTCAGCCTCAGTCTGCCTTCAGCCTCGGCCTCAGCCTCAGCCTGCCTCAGCCTCAGCCTGCATCAGCCTCAGCCTCAGCCTCAGCCTGCCTCAGCATCAGCCTGCCTCAGCCTCAGCCTCAGCCTGCCTCAGCCTCAGCCTCAGCCTGCTTCAGCCTCAGCCTCAGTCTGCCTTCAGCCTCGGCCTCAGCCTCAGCCTCAGCCTGCATCAGCCTCAGCCTCAGCCTCAGCCTGCCTCAGCATCAGCCTGCCTCAGCCTCAGCCTCAGCCTGCCTCAGCCTCAGCCTCAGCCTGCCTTCAGCCTCAGCCTCAGTCTGCCTTCAGCCTCGGCCTCAGCCTCAGCCTGCCTCAGCCTCAGCCTGCATCAGCCTCAGCCTCAGCCTCAGCCTGCCTCAGCATCAGCCTGCCTCAGCCTCAGCCTCAGCCTGCCTCAGCCTCAGCCTCAGCCTGCTTCAGCCTCAGCCTCAGTCTGCCTTCAGCCTCGGCCTCAGCCTCAGCCTGCCTCAGCCTCAGCCTGCATCAGCCTCAGCCTCAGCCTCAGCCTGCCTCAGCATCAGCCTGCCTCAGCCTCAGCCTCAGCCTGCCTCAGCCTCAGCCTCAGCCTGCTTCAGCCTCAGCCTCAGTCTGCCTTCAGCCTCGGCCTCAGCCTCAGCCTGCCTCAGCCTCAGCCTGCCTCAGCCTCAGCCTCAGCCTGCCTCAGCCTCAGCCAGCCTCCTCAGCCTCAGCCTCAGCCTCAGCCTCAGCCTCAGCCTCAGCCTCAGCCTCAGCCTCAGCCTCAGCCTCAGCCTTCAGCCTCAGCAGTCTGCCTTCAGCCTCGGCCTCAGCCTTCGCCTAGCCTGCCTCAGCCTCAGCCTCAGCCTCAGCCTCGGCCTGCCTCAGCCTGCCTCAGCCTCAGCCTCAGCCTGCCTCAGCCTCAGCCTGCCTCAGCATCAGCCTCAGCCTCAGCCTCAGCCTCAGCCTGCTTCAGCCTCAGCCTCAGTCTGCCTTCAGCCTCGGCCTCAGCCTCAGCCTCCTCAGCCTCAGCCTGCATCAGCCTCAGCCTCAGCCTCAGCCTCAGCCTGCCTCAGCCTCAGCCTCAGCCTGCTTCAGCCTCAGCCTCAGTCTGCCTTCAGCCTCGGCCTCAGCCTCAGCCTGCCTCAGCCTCAGCCTGCCTCGGCATTCAAAACGCGGCCCGGGAATGGAGTTCCGGGAACTCGAAGAACACGAAGTGGCCTACAGTTGGCTCCGGGCATTCGAAATCATGCCCAGAAATGGAGTTCTGGGAACTCGAAGACCACGAAGTGGCCTACGTTTGGCTCCGGGCATTCGAAATCATGCCCAGAAATGGAGTTCTGGGAACTCGAAGACCACGAAGTGGCCTACGTTTGGCTCCGGGCATTCAAAATCATGCCCAGGAATGGAGTTCTGGGAACTCGAAGACCACGAAATGGCCTACAGTTGGCTCCGGGCATTCAAAATCATGCCCAGGAATGGAGTTCTGGGAACTCGAAGGCCACGAAGTGGCCTACAGTTGGCTCCTGGCATTCAAAATCATGCCCAGGAATGGAGTTCTGGGAACTCGAAGACCACGAAGTGCGTTACTGTTGGCTAAAAAAAGAGCCCCCGGATCCCGTCCGGCATCTGCCCAGACCCCCCTGGGGAGTCATGATGCTCTCTTTTGACCCTACTAGAAACCTATCGGTCTTCGCTGTTAGGTAAAAACCTTTCGTGTGTGTGTGTGTGTGTGTCTGTGTGCACGTGGACAAAACAGCAGTGTCAGGTGGGCTGGGAGGAAATAGGTGTCGAAAACCAACGAGGATTGGCAAATAAGAGCGTGGGACAATAGCGTCTGGACGCGATGTTGGTGACACACGAAGCTATCGGGGCTGGTGGGGGCAAGAAGCGGACAGCATCGGGAACAGGCGCTCACGGCACACTGCGAAATTGCGAAAGGCTGGTGGGGTCAAGCGAGGACTGGGCAGCGCTAGTGTCGGGAACCAGCGTTGGCGGCACAGAGGGCTTGGGGGCCCGTGGCCCGATGTTGGCAGCACAACGGGCTAGGGAGGTTGGCAAGGGGCAGTGGGGCCAGCGTCGGGGGGACGGACGTTGGCGGCAGGCAGGGACGGTGGGGCAAACCTGGCGGGGCCAGGCCAAACCTGCCGAGGCCAGGCAAGGCACGGTGGAGGCTACTGCTGGGAGCCAACAATGGCGGCACACAGAGGTGGGACTGAGCTACGCTGGTGGCACTGGAGGGGCTTGCCACAGCGGAGAAGTTCATGGCACACAGGGCTGATGGGCCTGATGGGGCCAGCCGCGAAGAGAAGGAAGATGCAAATCCGCCGATCCGGCGTGTGAGTTTCAAGGAGTCTCAGCTACAGCCTCGAGGCTGAGCCTCAGCCTCTGGGGGGGTTGCCGGGGTGGCTCTGCCGGGGAAGGGGGGGTGGGGGGGGGGGGGTGCGAGTTTCCGGCGGATGCGTTTTTTGACACCCCTCACAAGGATCGTGGCCTCCGAGGGGGTTCCGAACTCGAGTACCACCCCTCCCGCACCAAGAGGCTCCGAGGAGGCCTCCAAGAGGCCCCAAGGGGCGCAGAAGAGGCCCCCAAGAAGCCCCAAGAGGCTCCCAAGAGACCCCCAAGAGGCCCTCTAGTGGCCCCAAGAGGCCCAAGAGGCCCCCAAGAAGCCCCAAGAGGCGCCCAAGAGGCCCCCAGAAGTCCCAGCCAACCACGAGATCCCAACCAGCATCCATGAGGCCTCTGACCCACCACCCACGCACGGTGGCGGGATAGGCCGACGGCCACTGGATAAATGCTGAGTGAGAGGAGAGGAGGGAAAAAGAGAGGAGGGACGAGGGCGAAGAAGGATCACATCAGTCGGAGCGCCCCGGATCGGCGGCACTGGCCGAAGGCCACTACAATATGAAAAACCCTGTTGGGCGGAGCATCGGATTTGAGGGTTGAGGGGGGACCTCTTGGGACTCGAATGAAAACGGAGCACTGTTTGGGCCTTTGGGGAGCTCTCTTGGGGCTTCGTGGAGTCTGAAGAGCCAACCTGGCGCCGTATTGCGACCAGTGTGGCGTCAAGTGCAGGTGGTCCGTGGTCCTGTTGGCCTTTTCTTGATTTCCAGCTTTCCTGGGCCCATATTGGTGTCCTCATGGGCCCGACTTGTACCCCTGCCGGGCCCGTCTGGGGCGTCTCTCGGGCGATCTTGGGGCCATGTTGAGACCCCAGGAACCCATCGGAAGCTCAAAATCGATGATGCCCCCGTGAGGTGGCCTCTCGGGGCCATCCTGGGGACGACCCATGGCCACCTTGGGGACCGTCTCGTGACGGTCTGGAAGCCTCTTGGAGGCCTAGTGGGGGCCATCAACAATGTGGGGACCAGGAGTCCCGGTGGACATGGTGTACTTGTCCTTTTGCCCCGACTCGATGCCTCGATATCTCGATACCTCTATACATCGAGCGGACGGGTACGGGCCGGGATTTGATATCTTGATATCTCGATCTCGATAAGGCGCCTGGCCCCTACGGGGACGCCGTGCGACCACAATGCATCGTGATGGCCGTCTTGGTGGCCGTCCTGGTGGCCGCCTCGCCTGGTACTGCCTTGCCGAGGCCAAGACGAGGGCAGCACACGCTGGTGCTGCGGCCGCGGGGCGGCTGGAGAGGTCCGTGATAGTAAGGGAAGTCCCGAACAGGCGATCAAACGAATTATCATTGAAACAAGCCTGATTTCACAAAAACAAGCCTGCGCCGATATCTGTTGTTAACGCTGGAGGGACGAATGTGCGCAAGAAATTTGACGAACTCTCCGACAAGTTGGTCAAGAAACGCTGACCCAGCTTTTCGGGTGATTGAATCAATCAGGTGCTCGACTGTAGAGCGTTTAAGATGCCCTGATTTGACACCACGATGGTCCCAGAAAGCCCAAGATTGCATCCAAGAGGGTACAAGAGAGCCCAAGACTCACGACGGCACAAAAGCCTCAATAAATCCTCGAGCATGCCTCCAAACGGTCAGAATCCCTACCCAAGGCGGCTCTAGGTGACCACTGAGCCTCCTGAAGATACCCCCGATAAGGCAAACTCCTCATCAAACCGACGGTATGTGAATGATGCTTGCCCTCTCGCCTTCTCGCTTCCCGTGGGCTTCTGAAGCAATACATTGACTCCAAAATTGTCCAATCGAGGCCCTAGAGGGAACCCGAAGACCCCCAAGAATCCCCCGAAGAGGGTTTCAAGAGACAGTCTGTCTGGCTCAGACAGAATGACCCCGAGAGGGCCCCCTAGGTACCCCGAAGGGCCCCACCAGCGCCCCCAGAGGGCCTCAGGGCTCCCAAGAAGCCAACAGTAAACTCCAAAATGACTCCAAGAGGCCTCCAAAAGGCTCCCAAAAGTCTCGAAACTCACAATTGTTGGCCTCTCTGTTTCACTTTATGTTTATCCGCTTCCTCCTGACAACTCCCCTGGGCATCGTTTCTGGATGGGCTGGCGGGGGTATGCCAAGCGTCGAGAATCTGGACGATGTCGTGCCTGATAGATGCGCCCCGCGATCTGATGTACTGCTCGATGGCAGCACAGGAGGTGCATATGCCACAGCTTCAGCCATACTGAACTGGAGCGCCGCAAATTATGTTGCCCTGGACTGCACTAGACCAGGCCAACATTGTTAAATTCGACGTCCTGGTGAGGATGCGCATCCTTGCAAACGGCACGTCGTGGGCCAGAGTAGAGCCTGGCAAAATGGCTAAACAAACGAATGCAGTGTTGAACGCATGGTGACTGATCCTGGATAACGTTCGACACCTAAATGGTACAGTGGCGGGGCTTAGAGAATGCAGCTGGATAAGACTGCCTTCAGGAATACGTCAAGGACAGCGCTTGTAATTGTGATAATGGGAATGAAGGTAGCGCTTACCATTGTTGAATGTTTTCAAGGTAGTTAACATGTCGGCACAGACGAACGCACCCTGTCCGCATTGTCCAAACAGTGTTCGCACCAATTGTTGTGATCATCGGATCGTTGGGGATCGCGGATCGGTCTCGGCCCCTGCACGCCAGAGAGGAGATCGGCTAGTGTCTAGTTGTGGACAACATTGGATCGAGACCAAATTCGAAATTTGGAGATCGGATGGGATCGAATCGGACCGTGAGCAGCCGTGCATGTCCTTCTGGATGTGCGGCCGAAGCCCAGTAGGGGAGCCTCTGAGCCACACCTGCACGGGGGCCAGCTCTCTCATCGCTGCGGTCGCCCCTGGTGTGAAGCTCTGTGCCTCCGTGTTGAGGCTGTGGCTGCCACTTCCCCAGGTGGACAACCTCCACCTCGCAACACAAGGTGACGCAAAGGCCTTTACATATGTGGCCTGGTGCTGGGAAGTCTGCCTGATACACCACTCGCGCCACTCGGCCCCGCGGTGGAAAAGCTGAAACAGCCTACGGTACTGTTCTGACGGTCGCCTCATCCTGAAAGAAAGCTTGAGCACCCTTCAAGCATATGAGTGTTCTTGGCAGCCCCCGACCTCCTTCCCTCGTCCTTTCTACGCTGCCTCCCTCCTCCTGCTCCTCCTGCTCCTCCTCCTCCTCCTCCTCGCCCGTTGCACGCTCCTTCCCCGCCTCCCTCTCCTCTTATCGGGAGACGTGAGACTTGAGACTCGGACTCGAGACATTCAGATTCGCCTGGCGGGGCTGCCAGGAAAATGACGAGACCCAGTCTGAAGATTGACGTGAGCTCCCGCTGCAAACATCCCACGAAAAAAGGACAGACTAAATTCAGGACAAGCCCGTCAAAACGCGTCAGCAGGGCAGCAGGGCAGACCCGAGTTCTGGCGAACTCCTGGGGTGCGTTCTGACCAAGACTTCGAGGCGAATCCAGCCATGGCGACGAGGGAAGGGCAGCAGTATCGCGATCGTCTCCTCTTGTGATGTTCCTCCTCGTCCTCTGTCTTCCCTCCTCCTGCTCGTCCTTTGCATGCCGCCTCCCATCCTCTATTCCTGATGGGGGGGGGGTCAGGGGGAGACTGGCTCATGGGGTGAAGCATCGACCTGGAATCGGCGATACATCGCCGATAGATCGGCGAGAGGCCCCCGATAGCGAACCCGCGCACTCCTTGGCGGGGTGGGCCAACTCAGGCCCCCCTCGGCAATCCATCGGCGACCGGGGGTCGATGCGTCCCCCCCCGGAGGCCCCGCCACGCCGTGGCGCGTCTTTCAGACCGGGCGGCCGGCGGCAGAGGCCGGCGCCCTTGCGTCGCTCTCCATCGTGATCTTGGCCTGGCGGGCCAGGCCGAGGGGGGGGGGGCACGGCTGGTTGGGCACAGCCTCGAGGCGCAGGGGCCCACGGTCGGGACAGTCTGCTCAGCGTGTCGCGGCGGCGGCCCCAGCGACACGCTGTGCCCTGCGTAGCGGCGTCTCTCCGCTCCGCGGGTCGGGAGGCTGGGAAAGGCTCGGGACGTTGACGCTTGGGGATTGGGGAGTGGCTTGCGTGTCGCGCCGACGCGTGGTGGGGCAGGACCAGCGCGCGAGACAGAGTTCCCGGCCGCATGCTGTCTGGGCAGTCCGCAGCGCGCCCCACGCGGAGCGGTCGCGGGCCCGCTCCCCCACATACTCGCGCCCCCACCCCCGGATCGACCAGAGACAAGAAGGGGATCTCAAATGTTACGAGAAGCTCGACCCCGAAGCCTGGCTGGCGGCATTTCACGGGGCCCTTTTGAGGAGCACGGGACGGGGGGGAGGGGACGGAAGGGGGAGAAGGAGGGAGGAGGGACCCTCGGATCTGGGCGTTGCAGCAAAAATGGGGTCGCCCTGTGTTTCGCAGCGCTCGGTCTCTGAAGGCCGCCTCCTGGCCCCGGGGACGTCGAACAACGGCGCAGGATGCCCTGGGGAGAAACTGATCGAGATCCCCAGGGGCCAACGGCACGGCGAAACTGCAACGTCGGAGGAGGGGGAAGGGGGGGAACTACCGGCCTTGGGGGATGGACACTGGCCTTGGGAAGCATGAAGGACGATACGGGATCTGAGATGCGGGCCTGAGGAGGTGCGGACCCAGACCTCTGGAGCCTCGCAGACATGGAAACCGTTATTCCCCTACTGTTCGGCTGCAAGAGGCTTGCTCTCGGACTTCCCGGGACTGTCAGGGAACGACTCAGGACGAAAAGCGAAAAGGGTCCAGAGGTCCGGGGCCTCGGGGCTCGAACATGTAGGGTCGTCGGAGGTCCAGGGTGCAATTCACAGCCCAGAGCCTGCCTCTCCAGAGCCTACTTACGACAGATGGCCTCTAGAGGCCGTGCGTGATATATGCTTCAGGCTCCAAAGGAGCCCCATGTATGTTAGCCAAGCGTTTCCCGGCGAATCGGGCCCCCCTTTAGCCTCCAGACTGCAGCCAGCCTTGCTTAGTAGGCCCTCCGAGATCCTTCGAGATCCCCATTATAATATCCCAGAACAGGTTCATCCGAAACCGTTCTGGCTCAAGCTTTTGCAGCGTCTCAGCGACGCTGGACTCCTGGTGTGCGTCCTAGAGACGCAGGACAGCGAACTGCCCGCTGACAAACAGATCCTGTTCATCACCATAGTGCGAGCAGCCTCGCAACAGCACTGCCCATAGATTCGACCCGAACACCGACAGTACGTTTAGCACGTGTCAGAAGAGAGAAGAGAGTAGTATCAACAAGGACTACGATCAGGGCAGTGGTTCTAAGCGGGACCATTGCATGGTAGCGGAGCTATCAAGCTCCACGGACAATAGATTCACGGACAGAGTTTCATCGTTTGAGTCATGACGAGGAATAACAATAACAACGATGACATCATACCGAAGTGGAATGGAGATCTCACCACGGTGGACGATTACGAGAGAGATGTCAAGGCCTACATCCGAGGCACCCGCCGAGATGAACGATATGTATGCGGCCCTCGGTTGTGGAGACGACTAGAAGGTCGAGCACGACAAGCAGCAAAGGATGTGGACTGGGACCGCATTGAGAGAGACGACGGTGCAGCCGAGCTACTGCGACACATTCGTGCTAAGCTCGGTGCTCAGCCCATCCAGGATGCAGGCAAATATCTGGCAAGATGGATCTTCGATCTGCGTCGAGACACTGGAGAGCCAATGCCTAGCTACATCAGCAGAGACGATGAGGCCTACCACGACGTGGTCAAGGGTTTCGACACCGAGTATTTCAAGAAGCAACGCACGGCTCGGCTGTCGGCAAGAGCAAAAGAATGGAACGCCCTCTACTCAGAGCTCAACTGGTTCCTGTACAAGATCGAGCAGGAGGGCCCGGAGGACGCTGCCGACAAGGCCAAGGAGTTGAACCACCGGCTCTGGAGTTTCATCCGGACAGGTCTTGAGGAGATCCCTGAGCATCCAGATTTCGGAACCGACTTCAAGCAGGCGATTCCCCTTGACCAGCTGCGCGGATGGCTACTGCTGCAGAGATCGAGACTTTCCCCGACGGAACGTGCGGCAGTCATCAGCGCAGTCAAAGGCAACTTCGACTACGACAGCATCGGCGAGCAGCTAAGAGTGTCCTGGCCAGATGACGAGCTGACGAACCGAGATAAGAAGCACGGCAAGGACAACCATCGCCATCGCGAGCGAGGTCGGATCCACGCCGGCTGGGAGGAGAACAGCGAGGACGACGACGACTACAGCTACTACGATGGCGACCAGTCGGAGGCCACCTATGAGGACGCGGACGGCGACGAGGACGAAGGAGATCCCGAGGAGCCGCTCTACAGCGCCCAGGAGATCGAGGAGGCCGAGACCGCGTTCGCCGCCCAGCAGCGCAGTTTCGAAGAAGCTCGGGATCTACTCCGACGAGTGAAGACCGCCAGGAAGTTCTACCCCGTGGATGAGAACAAGAAGCGAGAAGGACGCGGTGGACAGCGCAAGTTCCAGGGACCTCGAGCTGGATCCCGAGGCTCTGGATCATCGAAAGGACGAGGCCGAGGGAGCGGACAACGACGTGATGTACCACCCCGACGTGATAGCGATCGCTCCCAGGGCCGGCCGCCCCGCAAAGGACCCTGTCTGAAGTGTGGCGGCAATCACGAGACGAAGGATCATAAAGACCGCGCTTCCTCCACCAGCAGCAAAGATCGTGAACGACCCAAGCGAGGTTTCGGAGCCTACGTGTTCTTCGGCGCCGAGCAGGACGCCGAGATGGAGGCGAATCTCATCAGGAACGAGACATCGCGCCTGGAGCTGGAGTCGACGCTCAACAATAGGCCAGTGATCAAGAATCGACCGAAGCTTCCGAAGAAACAGCTCGAGAAGACGAAGTACCTAGAGGTGGAGAAATCCATCGAGAGACAGGAGCAAGTCCATCATGTGAAGCTACCGAGCTGGCCAACCCTGGAGAAGCTAGACGACTGGATCCTCATGAGTGTGAAGCAGAGCTCCTCCAAGGGCTTCGGTATTCTGGACATCGGCGCGACCTCCAGCATCATGGGCATCGAGGCCGCCGAGAACCTACGCGATATCATCTATGAGCAGACGGGCAAGAACATCAAGATGGACGTTAGCCAGAAGAGTACCTTTATCTTTGGAGACGGCAACGCCAAGACCTGCACCGGCAAGGCAACCTTTCCTCTGATGATCGCCGGTGTGGACGGCGAGCTCGAGATAAACATCCTCGACGCAGATGCCCCGCTCTTGATCGGAGTGGATGTTTTGAGCCGCCTAGGAGCTGTGATCGACTGCGAGGCACATTCTGTCTACTTCAAGAAGCTCGGGCGCCGAGCTGAACTGCTCGTCCTTCCGAGCGGTCATCTTGCACTGCCCCTTGTTCGACAAGCCGATTTTGGCTTCGTGGCATCTCTCGAGTAGGGGTCCACGCCCTCGACACCCGAGACTGCTACGGTGCCGGAGGGAAAACATGAAAAAGAGCAGCCGATCAAAAGCGAGAACGATAAACCGTCTGCGGTGGTGCCCCAGGAGTTCCCCGACGAGGTCCCAGATAATGGAGCCCTACAGGCCCCAGGTACATCATCATCATTTACAAGTACGGGGGCACCCTCACCAATTACGCCTACAGCAACATCATCATCATTTACAGGTACTGGGACATCATCAATTACGTCGGGGACATCATCAATTACGTCAGGGACATCATCCGTATCAGCCCCGACTCCATCACCTACGCCATTCTCGAAGTTATCTCCAGAGGCCTTCCCTGAGATCCCAGAGTTTCCAGAGCTCCAAACAGAAACATCCCCGTCTCCCAGAGCCATTTTTGGTGCGAATGATTCGAGCTCAGAGCTCCGATTTCAGCAACCAGTAATACGTCCATATTCTAGCCCTGAGCTCCGACACCATCCAGTTGGCCCTACATATTCGCATGAGCCTCAACCGCGAGGCGAAATGTCGCAAAGCAGAGAGCCAGCAGATCAAGCTGGAGAACGAGGAGATGGACGGCCCTTGGGAGCAGGTGGATGTTCGGGCCTCGCTACGGGACTCGGGATCATCGGCGGCGACCTCTACGTCGACGCCGGCACGGCCTACACTACAACGGATGCAGCCGCAGGGGCGACTGATCGCTCATCAGGACGCGAGGGGCCACATCTTCTACACGATCGAGGGCTCGGAGCAGGACAACAGCATGAAGCGGATGACGGACATCTTCCTGCAGGAGCACCTACCGAACTGGGAGATGTGGTCCAGCAAGCTTCTCCAGCAATGGACGCAGTGCCGTCGCTGGGGACGAATCATCCAGAAGGTCTTCATCAAGACGATCGATCGCGTGAACTGGAAGCTGGACAGCCTCGGACTACCTGTGCAGTTGCTACCCGAGAGGTACCCGACCTGGCCGGCGGACATCGAGCATCGTGCGAAGATCGAGCCGCGCCAGCCGTGCACAGAGCCGAAGCAGCGCCCCCTGTCCCAGAAGTCAGCAGCCTCGGCAGCCGCGCGCGAGCAGAATCAAGAGCTGCGAGCCACCATCGAGACCGCAAAGTTAGATTTCTTGACCAAGTTTGCGGAGGTGGATGCGTTCGCAGCGCTGAGCTCGGAGCAGATCCACGAGCAGCTCAGCATGGTTACGTTGATCAATCACCTCAAGCCGCTGTGCAAGATGTGGGGACTGACCCAGACTGGCAAGAAGGAGGAGGTGATCGACAAGCTCATCGCGTACATCATCGAGCAGCGCGGCACGGCGGCAGCGACTATCCAGGTCAAGAAGGAGACGGAGACCAAGAAGATGGAGACGACGGCAGTGCCCATGGGCCCGGCTATCCCAGCTCACTACACTCAGATGTGCCAGCACCCAGACTGCAAGCTACGCCGAGGCATCGCCAAGAACGAGCCGATCGTGAAGATGAGGCTCTACGGTTGGTGCCACCAGGCGTGTGCGGTCAGGACGAGGGCCTGAGTTAGATTCAGGCTGAGAGGTCTCGGTGGTGCGGCGACGAGAGCAGGCCGCTGAAGGGCCACCAGCGCCAGGCGATACGGGCAGCTACACATACGACGAGGTCGGCCATTTTCGGAGCCATGTGCGCCCTCGCAACCTTCGGCCGCCTGACGATGGTCGAAGCGTGCACCCACGAGGACTCGAATCTCGGGAAGGTGTGCGACGAGAAGGGCTACCACTACGAGCGGCTCGGCCTCTTCAACGAGAACGACCTCAGCAAGCCGCAGGGCTACCACAAGGCGAAGTTCCTGCTAGACGAGAAGCGCCCGGAGCTCTTCGTCAGTACACCACCCTGCGGTCCATGGTCGATAATGCAGAACGTCAACCAGCGCAACGATCAACAGAAGGAGAACCTTCGCAGGAAGCGGCTCAAGAGCCAGCGGATCTTCGAGAACAGCAAGAGGCTCATCGAGCACCAGGTGCTCAATCTGAACGGCTCGGCCCTCGCCGAGCAGCCCCACAACAGTCGTTCGTGGCAGAAGACCTGCTGGAAGGATCTCCACAAGATCCTACCGTATGAGGTGATCGTGGATGGCTGCGCCTGCGGACTACGAGCCCCTGACACGGGCGAGCTCATGAAGAAGCGCTGGAAGTTCTTGACGAATGACAGGAGGATCTGGGTAGCTCTACAACCTCTACAGTGCCGTGGAGGACACTACCACGAGGAGATAGAGAGCAGCTTGAGGACCGAGGCCTCGGGCTCCTACCCCAAGATGCTGTGCCGCCAGATCCTCAGGGCTCTGACCAAGAGCCAGAACCATAACTACTTCGAGGACGAGGTTGTGAACTGCCTCTGCATGGCAGCTACCCAGCAGCCACCGACAGAGCCTACGCCAGAGGAGGACGAGCCGACTCTCCCACCACGAGACGGCAAGGATGCGCACAACCTCACCAACGAAACGGTCAAGAAGCTCGAGAGCTACATCAGATTGGTTCATACCAACCTCGGACACCTACCTCGAGCTCATCTACTACGATACCTTCGCGACCGTGGCGCCCGGCCAGAGGTGCTACGTTTGGCCAGAACCTTCAAGTGCGACATCTGTGACGCACATCGACCACCTACTAAGCGGCCACCAGCATCATCAGCAGAGCAGCCCCAAAACGGTCACGAGGTGCTTTTTGACGCCTTCTCGTGGATCCGTCGCAGCACGAACACGAACGTGATGGCGCTGGCGATACTCGACGCCGGCTCGGACATCCTCTACGTGCGGCTGATCGACGAGAAGCCGATCCCAGGTACTACCCGGCAAGTCCGTGCAGGCGACCTTCGGCATATCTTTGCTACAAAATGGTTCCCCTGGATGGGACGCCCGAAGGTCATGCGCTACGACCCTGCCGGCAGCGCCATCTCCGACGAGTTCCGCGAGTGGATCGAGAGCCAGGGAGTCTACTGTCTCCCATGCGCGGCCGACGCTCACTGGCAGATCGGCAAGATCGAGCGTGCCATTGAAGCCTTCAAGGAGGCCCTCGATGCTTTCGACGAGATGGTCTCAGCCGAAGTACCCACCAGCGAGATGTTCGGACTCCAGACGGCGGCCAGGAACGACCTGATCAGGATCGACGGGTTCAGCCCGCTGCAGCGCTATGCGGGACGGACGCCGACTGGGACGACAGTCAATCTGTCGGACGAGCCGAACAACCTGCCGCTCATCAGTGCCGAGCTGCAGGACGGTACCTTCAGCAGGGACGCCCAGGTACGACGAATGGCGCGGCTGGCTCACATCCAGACCGAGAACTCTGACCGAGTCAAGCGAGCGGAGGCCGCGCGCTTCAGGTCCTTCAAGAAGTACGAGACGGGCGATCTGGTTTTCGTCTACCGACGGCTCCCACCAGGGGCCTGGCGCAAGAAGGGACAGCCTCGCTCAATGCCTGGGCGAGGACGCTGGTACGGACCTGGAAGAGTACTTTGTCACGAGCCAGCGAGCTCGGGACACCGACCTGGTCTACCTGGAACGGTGGTCAATATCACACTGGCTGGCCGCCTCTACCGAGTTGCTCCAGAACAACTTCGACCTGCCACGCCTTCTGAGGAGGCGATGGACTCCCTACGCTCGCGCCGCGAGCAGCCGGGGACCTGGACCTTCGGCGATGTCCAGAAGCAGCTCGACACGAATGAAGTGATCGACTTATCGAACGAGCCCCCGCCCACTGGCGAGGATTTGGCCGCTGATGACGGTGAATCGGTCAGCGCCCGCACCTTCGAGAGCAACGCGAGCGGACCCTGGGCCATTTCTGAAGACGATGATCGTCCTGTACCACAAGGAGATCCTCGTAGTCTTGACCCAGGAGGTGGCGGAGGCGGCGGAGGTGGTGGAGCCTTGGCGGCGCCACCAGGACTGGAAGAGCGACCTCTACCTGGACCACGACCTCCCCGACGTATGAGGAAGAAGGGCAATCCCTGGAACGAGGCAACCGAGGTCCAGGAACCTCTCATCCAGCCAGCTCAGCCAGAAGCTCCCCCAGGCATTCCACAGGAAGGCGGCCACGAAGCTGGACTACCCGAGGCAGCTGAGCAGCCCATCGAGGAGGAGATCGTCATGGAAGCCCCTCCCGGCGACGACCAGGAGGAGCGCGCGTCGCAGCGGCCCATCGTGGCGGAGACTGACGATGACCTCGACGATATCTCAGCGCCCGACGTGAACGATAAGCGCCGGATCCGAGAGCCCGGCACAACCGAGCCCCCGGCTAAGAAGCAGCGGGTCAACGCTGCGACCCAGGAGGCCTTCTCCTACTACCTGCAGGAGGGCAACTTCTACAGCGATTATGCCTACAGTGTCCAGCAGTATGACGATATGAAGGAGAACGACGAACTTATCGTGCTGGACATCCCTGTCAGCAACGAGCATGCGTTCATGGCCTACATGGACGACCCCAGCAACTTCGTGGCATCGCAGGCCCGCAAGGGCCGAGTGGAGGTCTCATTTAAGAAGGCGACGCCTGAGGAGAAGAAGCTGCTACTCGAGGCCCAGCAGAAGGAGTGCACCTCAGTCCTCAGCACGAAAGCCGTCAGGATCCTCAGCCGACAGGGGATCGACCCGGCGCGCCTGCTGCGCTGTCGCTTCGTGCTGACCTGGAAGAAAGATGACCAGGGGAACGTACTACGAGGCAAAGCCAGACTGGTCGTGCTCGGTTTCAGCGACCCCGACCTGCTGCACCTACGGACAGAATCACCCGTTGCCTCCAGACGTGCACGTCAACTTCTACTGGCCATGGCAGCCAGACACAAGTGGAAACTGGAGAAGGCCGATGCAGTGACAGCCTTTCTCCAGGGCGAGACGGACGAGGAGAAGAGGAAGATCTATGCGGACCCGCCCAAGGACGTGCGTCAGGCCTTCGGCATGAAAGACGACGAAGTCCTGCAGTTCCTCAAGCCTATGTACGGATTTGTACATGCTCCTCGCAAATGGTGGCTCCATTTCAAGGACACGCTCAAGACGCTGCAGCTGGAAGTGATACAGTGCGAGCCGTGCGTCTGGGTCATTCGAGACGGCACGAAGCTGGTTGGCATGGTTATCCTACACGTCGACGACATGATGATCGCCGGCGACCATCACAACTCGGCATTCCTCAAGAAACGACAGCAGATACAACAGGCCTTCGAGTGGACACCTTGGGAGAGCCGAGCGTTTGTGCAGTGCGGCATCAGTATTCGACAGAATGAGGACTACACCTGCAGTCTCGCACAGGACAGCTACAGCCTGAACGTGGAGCCCATCAAGATACGACGTGGACGCAAGCCCACGGAAGGAGTTTCAGACAAAGAGAGATCAGATCTACGAGGCCGACTTGGTACAGTCGGATGGCGAGCTCAGCAGTCGGCCCCGTGGCTCAGTGCAGAAGTCTCTCTACTCCAAGCGGAGATACCTACGGCGACGGTCTCTACCATCCAGAAGATCAACAAGCTGATCCGCACCATGAATGACACTGCTGACGTAGTCATGCTCATCCCGGCCATCGAGCAGATAGCTGTGGTTGGCTGGGGCGATGCTGCCTGGGCCGCTCGTATTACTGGCGAGTCCCAGGGTGGCGAGATGATCGTGCTGGCACCACTGTCTTTCCTGAGTGGCTCGACAGAGACGGTAGCGCCTATCTCATGGAGATCATGCAAGCTACCGCGAGTGGCCAGAAGCAGTACGAGTGCGGAGGTTCAGATGATGACAGAGACCCTCGACGAGATCAGCTACGTGCGCCTGTTCATCTACGAGTTAGAGTGCGGCCAAGTGGACTACACCAACAAGCAGCACGTGAACGACGCCATCTCATCCTGCCCTGGCGTACTGGTCACAGACGGTAAGTCGGGCTACGACGCGATCGAGAAGAGCGAGTCAGCTGGTCTCGGCCTACGTGACAAGCGGACGAGCATCGAGTGTCTAGGCATTCGACAGCAGAAGGAGCAGACGGCCCTCCAGATACGCTGGGTCCACAGCGATGCCATGCTAGCCGACGGCCTCACCAAGGATCGAGCCGCCAAGGTCTTGCTGGAGTTCTTTCGGTCAGGTCAGCGATGGAGACTCGTGGACGACCCACTGCACCGCAGTGCCAGGAAGCGCAAGACCGAGGGCATGGACAGGCTGGACCACGGCAAGCCGTTATCTGCAGACGACGACGAAGCTATGCTGGAGGCCCTGATCTACTTCGCTCGCGACAATCCCTACGAGCAGGAGACCCCTGCCGGAGACATAGCCCTTTGGGGCACTGTGAAGCCTCTCACGCGCTCTGTGCTTTCTGTGAATTCAGTGGCCAGAGGCAGGTCTCGATGCCGTAACATCGATCTTTAGCTTTTGGGCATGCGATTCACAGCCCAGAGCCTGCCTCTCCAGAGCCTACTTACGACAGATGGCCTCTAGAGGCCGTGCGTGATATATGCTTCAGGCTCCAAAGGAGCCCCATGTATGTTAGCCAAGCGTTTCCCGGCGAATCGGGCCCCCCTTTAGCCTCCAGACTGCAGCCAGCCTTGCTTAGTAGGCCCTCCGAGATCCTTCGAGATCCCCATTATAATATCCCAGAACAGGTTGATCCGAAACCGTTCTGGCTCAAGCTTTTGCAGCGTCTCAGCGACGCTGGACTCCTGGTGTGCGTCCTAGAGACGCAGGACAGCGAACTGCCCGCTGACAAACAGATCCTGTTCATCACCATAGTGCGAGCAGCCTCGCACCAGCACTGCCCATAGATTCGACCCGAACACCGACAGTACGTTTAGCACGTGTCAGAAGAGAGAAGAGAGTAGTATCAACAAGGACTACGATCAGGGCAGTGGTTCTAAGCGGGACCATTGCACAGGGAGGGGGGAAACGGATGAGGTCGGGGAGGGGTCGGGGGAGGGGTGAGGTTCCCTCCTTCCTCCTCCTTCCTCCCTCCTCCCTCCTCCTCCTCCTCCTCCTCCTCCTCCTCCTCCTCCTCCTCCTCCTCCTCTTCCTTCTCCTCCTCCTCCTCCTCCTCCTCCTCCTCCTCCTCGATGACCTCTATGGACCTCCAGAGACCTCCAGGGGCGTCCAGAGACCTCGGGGAAGGGAGGATGCAAACGTGTCGGCGGGTGGAAGGAGGGATGCACAGGAAAATCCAGAAGAAGAGGGACGAGGGCATAATCGAGAGGGAGAGGCGAGGCGAGAGAGGCAGGCGCGAACCGAAATTCACATCGAGGCAGGAGACCTATGATAACTAACGAGAGGGATGGGCAACAGCTATTGCATGGCGCGTGCATGAGCGCGAGCACGAAGGGGGAGATATTGAGGGAGAAAGAGAGAGAGAGAGAGAGAGAGAGAGAGAGAGAGAGAGAGAGAGAGAGAGAAAAAAAAAAAAGAAAGAGAAAGAGAAAGAGAGAGAGAGAGTGGAATAACAACATCGCACTAGCTCGGAGGGCCGAACTCCGTCGGGCGCGAGGGCTGCAAGCGCCCTCCGTGCCAACCTTCTTGTGGCGGGAGGTGCCGCTTGTGCGAACAGGGATGGGGAGACAACCCTCCCCGCTGGCGCGGTCCGTCGGGACGCCGACTGGAAAGCAGAGGCGGGAAGCGGCGATCAGAGCGTGCCGCGCTCAATCTGCACACCCGCAAAACAGAGAGACGCCAGCTGCACGCACGCTTCGGCATGCGTGATACGGCGCCCTGGCACTGACGGCCCCGCCTTGGGCCCCCCCCGCGGCGGCCCAGCGCTAGAATTACGCGAAAGTTGCCAGCAGCTCGCGCAGCGCACTCAAAAGATGGAGAGGTAATCCGTAGTGTGCTATCGGTGAGCATCAGGGCACGACTGGCTGTTCACCTGGGGAGGGGGGGCCAGGCGATCGGCCCTGGTGGTCGATCCAGGCGGTCTGTGCTCTTCGGGATCTGTCAAGACGGGGTCCTGACTGTCCCTGGGTCTACGCATTTTGTGACCAAGCCTGGTAACACACTAATGTGTCGCCGTGATGCTGAGGCCATGGTGCCTTCACTCTGGTCTCGTCGCCTACAGTTTGGTTGGCTGTGCTGGCCGTGCCGATCGCGCCTGGTGGCGGGTGGCTGGGCTGCCTTAGCATGAGCTGCACACGTTCTTTGGCCGCCTCGTCCTCGCCTGGTGGCGGGTTAGCTGGCTGCTGTGGAGAGAGGAGAGAGAGAGAGAGAGGAAAAACAAAAAGAGAAACGACAAAAGAAACAGAGATATACAGAACAAGAGAAAGAGAGAGAGAGAGAGAGATCGTGCGAGCGAGAGAGCGGAGCGTATTGGGCCATCCTAGCCCGGCTTGGCGGCCTCTGAGTTCCCAACTTGATATTGTGGATAACCAGTTGAAGCCCATATAGTGAAACTCGGCCATCCAAAAAAGCATCCAAAGTGGCCCCCATATCACCATTACAATTTTTGTTCCAATGCGCGCGTGGCATTGATAGTGGGGCTCGGCTGCGCAAAAGAACTGCCTTCGCCTAAGGATATAATTAAACAGAGCGGCGGGACATGCTGCTGGTGCTAACGAGCGGCGATGGAGTCTGCCCACACGAGCCGCTTCTAAGATTGCAGGCCTGCCGAACGCAGGGAGCAGAGAGGCGCATCTGCGGACCTCTGCAACAAGAGGCAAACAACAAGCACCGCTGTAAGCATCAAGAGTCTGTAGCTTCAAGCGGTAGGTTCTGCCGAACACTGCCCCTACGCGTTGTATTGCAGAGGTCAACGGACGGCTATCAGGAGACGGATAAGAAACTGCAGGATGCGCGTACCTAGCACGTTGTCTGCAAAGCGACACAAGCTACACGATGATGGCTGCGGCTATGGTCGTCTGCCTCCGACTCGGCAACAGAAGCGGTGATCACGACTCGGGTAGTAAACGACGCAACCATGTAACAAGCCGAGTAACATGAATAATTGACAACCCCTGGGGAGAGAATTGGCTACACGGGTGATGGGTAGAGGGGAGTGCGGAAAAGGAGTAAGGGTAGCGAGCGACTGGTCCTCCACCAGATCCTTCAGGAGGCCTTCTCCCAGGGAAAGGAGGCATCCCAGAGACCTCCCCTGGTACTCCACCAAACGTCCCGAGGATGACCTCCGCCCAGGGAGAGACCTCCGGGAGGACCTGGGAGACCATTGGGAAGACCAGTGCACTCCTCAGAGACCTCCGGGAGGACCAAGGGATGCCTCCTCGGAGACCTCCAGGAGGACCATGGGAAGCCTCCAGGGAGACCTCCCATACGTCCAGGGGAGGCCTCTCGAGAGTCGTGTTCTCTCCTCCTCCTCCTCTTCCTCCTCCTCGTCCTCGCCGTCCTCCTCCCCTCCTTCTCCCCCTCTCCTCCTCCTCCTCCTCCTCCTCCTGCTCCTGCTCCTGCTCCTCCTCATCCTCGTCCTCTCCTTCTCCTCCTCCTCCTCCTCCTCCTCCTTCTGCTCCTGTTCCTGCTCATCCGATACTGTCCTTCTCCTCTGCATTCTCCTTCTCCTCCTCCTGCTCCTCCTCCTGCAGCTCCTCCCCGCTTCTGCTCCTGCTCCTCCTCCTCCACCACCACCATCATCAACAACAACAGCAACAACGTCATCATCATCACCATCATCAGCATCATCATCACCATCATCATCAGCATCACCAACCACACCAACAACAGCAACGACAGCATCATCCTCATCCCCATCCTCGTCCTCATCATTAGCAGCAACAAAGCATCAGCATCACCATCATCATTTCGTCATCACTACCTGGTAGTGGTGGCGAACTCATGATGGTGATGGTGGTAGTGACTACCACCACCACCAGAATCACAACCTCCACCACCACCTTTATCATCATCACCATCATCATCATCATCATCATCATCATCAGCAGCATCAGCATCATCACCATCATCAGCATCATCATTCTCATCAGCATCACCATGAGCCTCTTCCTCCTCCTCATCATCATAATCGTCCACATCATACTCCTTATCCTCATCCTCATCCTCACCATAATCATCATCACCATCATCATTATCGTCATCATCATCATCATTATCATCGTCATCACCGCCACCACCACCAACACCATCATCACCATCAGCAGCATCATCATTATCATACGCATCATGAGAATCAGCATCATCATCGTCAGCATCATCATCTTTATCATCAGCAGCATCATTAGCAGCAGCATCTTCATGATCACCATGACCATCATGATCATCATGCTGCTGCTGATAATGGTGTGGTTGGCACTGATGATGATGACGATGATGATGATGATGATGTTAATGGCGGTGATGATGATCAGTATGATGATGACTATGCTGATGATGATGATAATACTGGTGATGATGATGATGCTGATGATGGTGGTGAGAACAATGAGGGTGATGATCATCATCATCATCATCCTCATCCTCATCCTCATCCGCATCATCATTATCATACTCATCATCATCAGCATCATCATTCGCCTCTCATCATCATCAGCAGCATTATCAGCATCATCATCAGTATCAGCAGCATCATCATCATCATCATCATCGTCATCGTCATCGTCATCACATCAAAGGCACCGTCATAGACATCATCGGCGTCATCATCACCAACACCACAACCACCGCCATCATCAGCATCATCATCATCATCATCATCATCAGCATCAACACCGACATCAGCATCAGCAAAAAACATTACCACCACCACAACCACCATCACCATCACCATTGTCAGCATCAGCATCAGCAACAGCATCAACATCATCATCATAACCATCATCCTCATCCTCGTCCTTATCCCTATCCTCATCCTCGTCCTCATTCTCTCCTATCGCCCTCTGCAACTCCTCCTCCATCTCATCCATCTCCTCCTCCTCCTCGTTTTCTGTGTTCCCCTTCCTCCACTTCCTTGTCCTGTTTCTCCTCCTGCTCCTCCTCCTGCTCCTCTTCCTCCTCGTCCACCTTCTCCTCCTCCTTATCACCTCCGCCTCCTCCTCCTCATCCTCCTAATGGCGATGGGCCGCAGGAGGGGGAAGAGAAGGAGGAGGAGGAGGAGGAGATGAAGAAGACGAGGACGAGCAGGGCAAGGACGAACAGCCGCGCCGAGGCATGAATAGCAACCTCTCGGTCCAGCCGAGTCGAAATCACAAATCTATCGGGAATGTTTCGCCGCCACCCCCAGAAAGAAAATTGAAAACCGTCGCGGAGTCTCTGGGTATCTCGGCCTCTTTTGCTTGAGGCCTTGCGGCCCCATTTCGCCGAGTGGAGGCTGGGCAGGCTGATGCGAACGCTCGGGCCGACTAGGGCGGGCGGAACTTGAAGAAATGATAGCTGCGTGAGCCCTAGCGGGAGGTCTTGCGTGGCGAGCGGACGCCAGGTCGGGTCGGGTTGGGCGTGAAAGACATCACCGTCTGATGCGTCATCGAACTGGCGCTCGAGAAATCTAACAGTCGGGTCGGGCGGGCGGGACGCTAAAGTATGATGCATCATCGAAGTGGCACGCTTGCACTCAAACAGGAAGGTCGGGTCGGCCCGGCGGACCCTGACGGGCGGGACTGGTCGAGCGGGCGGGACATTCAAGTCTGATGCATCATCGAAATGGCACGCTTCTCTCATAAAAGAGTGGGCCGGGTCGGGCGGGCGGGTCGGGTCGGGCGGTCGGGTCGGGCGGGCGGACGGGTCGGGCATTCGGTGTCAAGTCGGGTGGGCGGGACAATAACAAATGTTGCATTATCGAATTGACACTCGTGCACCCTACCGGGCGGGTCGGGTCGAGCGGGCGGGCCTGAAAGAGCGGATCGGGTCGGGTGGGCGGGACATTAAAATGCGATGCGTCATCGGGCTGGCACGCGCGTGCCTTAACAGGCATGTCGGGTCGGGCGGGCGGGAGATTAAAGTATGATACGTCATCGAATTGGCACGCGTGTGCCCTAACCGGCGGGACGGCGGGGCACTAAAGTATTGGTTGGCTCTCCACTGGCGGTGGGTCCCCAAAATTGGGACTTCGACTCCGGAATTGAAAAGGATCCATCCCCACCCTCAATATTGGAGTTCCCAAACTCCTATATTGAGAAAAAACCTAAATGGAGTTGTCAAACTCCGGATTGACATACTGCCTTTTCCCAATAGTGGGGTTCAATATTGAGGTCTTGGTCCAATATCGAGGTTCCAACACCGATATTGGGGTTTCTGAAGCCCGATACTGGGGTTTTCAATTCCGGGGATGGGAAGTCCAATATTGGACTTTCGAGTGGCCTGCGAACATGGAGGTTAGAGGCATATTTCCTCCTCCTCCTCCAACTCCTCCTCCTCCTCCTCCTCCTCCTCCTCCTCCTCCTCCTCCTCCGATTGCTGCCGATATTCATCCTTAAATCCACGCCCGCCCAAAACAGTAACCAAGAGGCTCCGGTGACTGATTTGGGCTGGGCGCCCGTGGCGAAAAAGATCGTCCTCCTCCTCCTCCTCCTGAGTTCGCAATTTCGAACCTGCCCCCCGACCCGACCAGCCCGCTAGGGCAAGCGTGTGCTACTTAGAGAGCCGCGTCAACCTTTAACGTCCCGCCCGCCCGACCCGACCGGCCTGCTAGAGCAAGCGCACGCTTACTCGAGAGCTGCATCGTGCTTTAATATCCCGCCCGCCCGACCCGACCGGCCCGCTAGAGCAAGCGCGCGCTGCTTCGAGAGCTGCGTCAACCTTTAACGTCCCGCCCGCCAGACCCGACTGGCCCGCTAGAGCAAGCGCACGCTACCTCGAGAGCTGCATCGTGCTTTAATGTCCCGCCCGCCCGACCCGACCGGCCCGCAAGGGCCAGCGCGTGCTACTTAGAGAGCTGCGTCAACCTTGAACGTCCCGCCCGCCCGACCCGACCGGCCCGCTAGAGCAAGCGCGCGCTGCCTCGAGAGCTGCATCGTGCTTTAATGTCCCGCCCGCCCGACCCGACGGGTCTGCCAGGGCAAGCGCGTGCTACTTAGAGAGCTGCGTCAACCTTTAACGTCCCGCCCGCCCGACCCGACCGGCCTGCTAGAGCAAGCGCACGCTACCTCGAGAGCTGCGTTGTGCTTTAATGTCCCGCCCGCCCGACCCGACGGGTCTGCCAGGGCAAGCGCGTGCTACTTAGAGAGCTGCGTCAACCTTTAACGTCCCGCCCGCCCGACCCGACTGGCCTGCTAGAGCAAGCGCACGCTACCTCGAGAGCTGCGTTGTGCTTGAATGTCCCGCCCGCCCGACCCGACCGGCCCGCTAGGGCAAGCGTGCGCTACTTAGAGAGCTGCGTCAACCTTTAACGTCCCACCCGCCCGACCCGACCGGCCCGCTAGAGCAAACGCCCGCTAGCCTGAGAGCTGCGTCGTGCTTCAATGTCCCGCCCGCCCGACACGACCGGCCCGCTAGAGTAAGCGCGTGCTACTCAGAGAGCTGCGTCAACCTTTAACGTCCCGCCCGCCCGACCCGACCGGCCTGCTAGAGCAAGCGCCTGCTACCGCGAGGGCTGCGTCGTGCTTTGATGTCCCGCCCACCCGACACGACGGGCACACCAGGGCAAGCGCGTGCTACTCAGAGAGCTGCATCAACCTCGAAGGTCCCGCCCGCCCGACCCGACCAGCCCGCTAGAGCAAGCGCCTGCTACCGCGAGAGCTGCGTCGTGCTTCGATGTCTCGCCCGCCGGGCTCCGCCCGCCCAAAACAGTCGCCCAAGGCTCTTGGTGACTGTTCTGGGCGGGCGGGCCCAAAACAGTCACCAAACGCCTCGGGTGACTGTTTTGGGCGGGGCATGCTCTTCATGCTACGGCCTCCTCCTCCACCTCCTCCCCCTCAGCCGCTCCCGGCTCGAGGGGTCTGGGCGCTACCAGGTAGTGGCCCCTCACCTTCGGGACAGCTACTAGACGCGCCGTCTGACCGCAGCCCGCCATAGCGCTGCCTCGCGGCCGCGCTGACCCCCATCGCCACGCGGGGAG